AATTTCGCTGTCTTCCAGCAGTTAGGAAATATTCCTCGACGGAAGAGTTCATTAAGTAACGCTACTTGTAATTGTGGGTTAGCATAGAAAACTTCAGCTATAATTTCTTTAGATATATTGTCCATTCCAGGTGCTTTGCCTGGATTGAGGGATTTGATAGCATTTTCCACTTCTGGAATCGTAAACGGAACATCATTTATTGAATTATATGGATTCCTTAAGTTGTTACGAATTGTCGTATGAAACTCCGTGTCTTCGCTGATTATATCTTTAGGAAAGTGGTAATCCATTAGGAAACGTATAGTTTCTTCTATTGTGGAAGTCTTGGTTTTATCTGGTTTGAGTAACGCTTTTAATTGTAGAGGGGATTGCATAGTCCCCTTAGCAATGTCATAGTGTACCCCGAAGGGTGAACTAGGACTTAGACGCTCCAGATATCTTTTCCAGGTTGTTCTTTTGGCTTGCATAAGCTTTCTTTTATAGAGAGCAAGGTCTTTTTCATAGACTTGCTTATAGTGTGCCCTTAGTTCGTCATCATGAATACATTTGTGATAACGCTTTCTCAAAGCGAGGATTCTTTTTCGTAATATTGAGAGTTCCGGGGTCCACCAAGGGACACCTTTGTGTTGAGTTTTAACATATTTTCCCTTGGCGTGGGTTGCCAAGTCACAGTATTCCTGTATTTTCTGAGTCCACTTAATTATAAGTTGATTAAGATCAACTGTATCTTTAGGCAAGTAAGATTCCATTGAACCAAAAAAGTGACCAATTTTTGCCTTCAGTAAGAGCCAATCCATTTGTGTAAGTTTATATTTGACTCTTTGAGTTGAGCTAGAATGTTGATACGTAATTTCAAAAGAGATATAACAATGATCACTTAAAGTGATACAGTCCATAACTTTCCAATTATGAATGAAAGACGTGGAAGAGATTGATCTGGAAGCTGTAATATCAATCCAGCTCTTTCCCCTTGTGCAGTTGTAGGTAGGGGGACCATCCGGATCGTTTTCAACAGCCAGTCTATGCATTGTTAAGAATTCTCTAAGTGTGCGTTTTCTGGGATCCTTGAAGGGGGAGCCCCAGAGCACACTTTTCGCGTTTAAGTCGCCAAGGAGAAGAAGATCATGTTGATCGTCAAAGTAACGTTCAGCTAAGTTTAACAGAGTAGTTAAATCTGTTAAGTCCGTTATAGGTTGAGTATAACAGTTAAAAATGGTTATTGTCCTATGTTCAATCTTTAATGTAATAACATTTAAAGTAGAAGAAGCGTAAGTATTCAGAACCGTAAGTCGTGGGTTAACCACCACTGTGGCTGTTTTGGGGTGGTGGTCATTTGGAGAAAAAATGTTTGAGTCGGAAAGCCAGACGGCTTGTCATTGATACAGTATGGTTCTTGAATAAAAATCAAGTCGTATTCAAAGATACAAGTCTTTAGTTGTGCTGTTGCGACATGTGATCTCGCTAAATTAATTTGCAACGCTTTTATATTTTGAATAAGTTCTCTAGCCATAATTGATTTTTCTTCGAAGATCTTCAATTTCTAGCTGTCTGCTAGGACAGTCTTTTGAGAAACTTGAGTGCTGCTCGTCAAGGTGCTTATCACTATTCGCATTTCTTTCTGCACAATGAATACATCTTTGGTAGTTATTGTCACAATTTTTGTGGGAATGTCCCACTTCTCCACAATGTCCACATGCCTCTTCTGTTTGGCATTGTTTAGAAATATGTCGGTATTGGCAGCATTTAAAACACTGCGTTGGTCTGATGTATTCTCTTAAATTGAAACGTTCCCAATTAACGCACAGTTTGCGTAACTTAGTAAGTGTTTGAAAACCTCCGGTGAGGTTTCACAAACCCAATGATTTCTGTTCTTATGCTTGATAGGAAATTTAACCTGTAGGCCATCACCATCGATGCCTTCGTTTTGGGCTAAAATGGCTTCCTTAAGTTCTTCCTTAGTCAAGTCCCTTGGAATATCATATATTATAATTTTAGGAAGCCTACGTGTAGGACGAACAATTTGTAGGTCCTTTTTAAGTTCTGGTACAGTATTTATTTCATTTTCTAGCGTCTCTATGTCTTCCGCTTTATTGGTCTCTATTAAGAGACCACCTTTTGCCTCATTTTTAAGTCTTTTCACTCCAATGTGGAGCTTTGTGGGATCAATAGTTTTTAAGAGCTTCTTTCTGATGTTGTCTGGTTTATCCCCTTCATTTGTGGGGTATAAAATAGTGACATGTTGTTTATCTGGTTTTCTCCATGTTTTGGATCGGTCACGAGCTGGACGTTTAAGTACGTCCGCATAAGAGTCTTTAATGTTTGGCGTTTGATGAATTTGTCCTTCCATGTGTGCCATCTCGACACACTGTTCAGTTAGAAGGTTGAACATCAATTGAAATTGATGTCGAATATCAGCGGCTACTGCCTTGTTTATGCCAGAATATGCCAGAATTTGTCAATATTGTCTCTAAGGTGGCAATATATGCCTGTCCTTCTTTGAGAATGTCTTTAGAACTCATTTTGATGTAGGTAGAGTTATTCAACGCTTAACTAAATAAGATGCACTGGGTCTGTAGACCGACCTGGTACCCTGGGGTTCACACCAAGTCAGTAAGTAGTAGGCACTTTTGCTCAGGCTTTCGACCCTCCTTGGAGAGGGAGCCCCCCGACCTTGCCAAGGTACCCGAGCACTGGGAAAGCACGAATGAACAGGTGAAACAAATATTCAAAATTATATCAATTTTGCACATTAATATCGCATTTCAATCGCATACAAATCGTATTTCTAATCGCTTTCCCCGGGGAGCCCCGCCCCGTCACTGGAACAATCCGGACCGAACTATTAATTAGCGGCTAGAATGAATATAAATGTATAAATATTGTGCAAATTCTGATTATTGATTCCCGGCAGCGTGAGGAGCCCCTTGCTACGCCAGGGTTCCCTTCTACTTGCTTAATTGCTTAAAGTAGAGTGCAATGAAGGAAACCATTGGCGGTACATTTCTTAAAAGTCCACCGCTAGCTCAATCAATAAAGGTGATTTAAATAATGAAATGTTAATTCATATATCAAAAATTTCTTTGTACGTAACATTTCTTGTGTAGATCTTTCCATCATTTTTAAGCTCGCCTTGCAGACGACCATCAATTATTTTTAATTTTACTTCCGTTCTTGCCCAAACTCTTGAACAGGCAACATAAAGTTGACCGTGTCCAAATGTAGGCTCAGGTAAAAAAATGCCCTGAAACTTATGGATGGTCATAGCAAAGGCAAGTTTTACAGGAAATTGTCTCCGTCTCAATTGAAACGGCAACCCTGTGCCATGGCAACTTCACCCCATTGGCTAGTACAGTTACGCAAGCAACCAATAAACTATGGGCAACAAACAGACACTTAAGCCGCATATATATATGGGGTGAATTAACATCCTCTCCTCCGAAACGGCTGGCTCCCGGGCTTAGCAAAGCACACCATTGGATTCCACAGGTCCATGGCACGCCATTTTGACCATTCGCGTCTTCTTGGGACTTTAATTAGCCTGGATATTAATTAAAAACTAATTTCCCCCTACGGTTTCTCTACATTTTCCACTTTCTTTCTTGTGTTTTCCATATTACAGGGATTTGGCTACATGGCAAATTCTTTTTCTCGAATATCTACGGAACGGTTCAGAGTTGAAATTCGAAACGCATATCCACGGATTCCAAAAAATTCTCCGAACCTGTCAATACCGTTCTCATCTTCGTACGACTTTAATCTGTCGAGATCTTAATTAAAAACTGCGGAAACATTAACTTCCGCGCTCATTTTTCCGAGTGGCAACAATAAACTATCGGCGACACACACTTTAACCGCTTATATATATAAAGATTCCTGAACAATGTGATTATTCTTAGCACAAAAATTCGTAGTTACACTTATTTATTTTTTGACATATACACATAAAAGGTTATAAAATCTGTATTTTTATACCTCTGAATAAGGTTCCACTTTAAATTATCTCCATTTATTATTTACATTCATTTTTTACAGAAATGGAAATGATGGAAATTCGGGCTTCAAATAATTAAAATTTTGAAATCTTTGCAACACTGTATTGGCTGCAAATATGCAATTGAGACGTTTTCATGAACTGCATAAAATGCTTTGGGAAGGGGGTGCATACAGCACACAGGCAGCCAGTTTAAGACTACTGTTCTAAATAAACAAAAACTCTTCAAAAAGCTGAGGAGAATATTGTGAATTTTTTACATAAATTAAGAAGAATTAACAAAAATGTTTATCACACGTACCCCCCCCCCCAAAAAAAAAAAAGATTCCCCCCCATAGAGCAATATTTTTAGAACATACTGGTAAAATTTTTAGTTCCCAGTTAAAAATATGAACATCTGTAATGCATTTGACACTGACATAAGCAAAATAAGTGTCAATTTAAGTTAAAGGAAAATAACTTATAATAATTGAATTCTCAAAAGAAAAAATTTTAGATTTAAATTTCATGTTTAGTGATGCTAATTTTCATTTAAACAAATTAATTAAAACTTAAATAACATAACTCAGTTACCTCTAATATATGCAGAAAACCTGAAGAATGCAAAATATTCCAAGCCTTTAATTAATACAAAATTTAAGTAAATATAAAAGAAAGAATTCACTGACTTGCATCACTTCCCTATGCACATTTTCAACCTACTCTAAATATTTCTAAAATTTAACGAGCAGTTACAAAATTAAACAATTTTGGATATTATAAGTTTTGCTGTGAGTGAAACAACACTCAATATTATTTTAATTGACTCTCATCAAACTTTAATAACAAATATCTCAACAAGTGTTTCTTGCAAAAATCAAATTTTTTTGTAGTTAACTTACTAGTGCATAATAAACATTTTATTAACTCTCTTTTTCTGTTCTGTAGGGACTATAAGAAAAGTTAAACCTTGCATATACAAAAACCATTCAATATATTTTTTAAATGGGCATAATAATTGTAATCTTACTTCCTGTTTTCCCTCCTGCATCAACATGCATCGCTGTTCTTCCCCACTAGCTTTGAAATCAACTTCATAAAGTGTTCCTTCATTATCAATACATTTTTTCTAAAGAATAAACAAATTTATCGTGAAAAGTAATAGCTTATTAACCTAATAAATACAAGAAGTTCAAATTTATGCAATGATTCTAAAAGTAATATATATAAAAAATTAAATAATTAAAAAAAAACACATAATGAAATTAATGATCAATGTAGATACAGTCATTGAAAATCAAGTAACATAAAAAAGATGGGAAACTGAATGTCTCTACACATCCTATTTCCAATTTTCAAACCTACTTAAACATTTAAAACTTCATTAAATTTATTTAATTTATGAACCATATTTCTTTGTGTATTTCTCCCTATAGCTTTTTAGTGCCAGATTCCGAAAAATAAAAAAAATATTCATTTAATATTCTTCTTCTTGAAAGCGTTCAGACAACAAGCTCTCCTAATTGAAAAAATGAATTTGTCCACATAGTGATTGTTTTCGCCTTACTATCAAAGACACACCCTCCTACACCAGAAGTGAAGGTCACGTCGAAACCTTCCCTTTTAATTGCTGAACTTTATGCCAGCCTAATCCATGACTCGACCCAAAAATGAAGAAAACACTAATTGACATTAATCTACAATTTCAACGAGTCTGCTTCACACCTTCTTTAATTATTTATGGACAATTCAAAGCCTGAGGAGTAGTAGAGATGACAGTAAGAATGGGTAAGATTCAAGGTACAAGTAAACAGAAATGGAGCTACCTTATTAGATAATATAATGCTAATATTACTATATATTTTTAACAAAATGTAAGTTTCATTCAGAGAAATATTTTTGTAATAAATATCTGCAATTTACCCATGATTACTTTCCAGTGTTCTTACTTGTCCTTCGAAAAGTAAATTTTTTGCATGACTTTTCCAACTTAATTTCTTCAGAAAAAAATTAACATAAAAATGAGGAAAAATACACAAATATTACAGAACAGCCATTTTTTTTCATTCATTCTCATTAACAGCTTTTGCCTAAATATTTTACATGTTTTGTTACTGTAGTTTCAGAAACTACTTCCTTCACTACAAGTAAGTAGGTTCTACGAGTAAGTAGCGTCAGTACGCAGACACTTAAGACCAATGGTAATGGCATGACGTCTAGAAAAGTGGTCTCGCATAGAGGTGCGAGCCGTAATTCGATTCTTATGGACCAAGAATGTGGCCGCATCCGAAATTCGCAGACAAATCGTTGAGGTATACGGGGACAAAGCAATGAGTAGACAACAGGTAGCGAAATGGTGTCATTCTTATCAAGCGGGCAGGGAGCATGTGGAAAACCGCAATATCGAAGCGAGCGGCCGCCCAAGTTCTTCAAGGACAGATATCAACACGGCACGTGTTGAAGAAATCATCCAAAGGGATCAATGAGTAACTGTGCGTGATATTGCCTCAGAGTTGGACCTGCGTTATGGTAACCTTCAGCGTATCGTAACCGATGAGTTGCAATATTCCAAAGTTTGTGCCCGCTGGGTTCCATGTGCGTTGTCCGCGGAGCATAAGGCCACTCGAATGATGTGTACTCTCACATTTCTTCAGCGATACCATTCAGACGGCAAACACTTCATTGATCGCATTGTTACCGGTGATGAAACATGGCTTCATCACTTCACCCCCACATCCAAAAGAGCCATGATGAAGTGGAAACACGCTGGATCACCGACTAGGAAGAAGTTTAAGGTCTCTGCCGGTAAAGTGATGGCAACCATTTTCTGGGATACGACTGGTGTTATCCTAATCGAATATTTGGAACGTGGCCATACCATTAAGGCTGATCGTTATTGTGCCACCTTAACGAAATTGCGTAAAGCCATCCGACGCAAACGGCCTGGATTACTGAGCAAAGGCGTCATTTTTCTGCATGACAATGCCAGGCCCCATACAGCTCGCCAGACTCAGGAATTGCTGCAAAGGTTCAAGTGGGATGTCTGGAATCACCCCCCCAAACAGCCCCGATTTGGCTCCAAGTGACTATTTCATTTTTCCGGTGTTAAAGCGATACTTATCCGGAACACTGGTTCACCTCAGACGATGCAGTGAAAACAGCTGCCGAGAAATGGCTCAACGAGCAGGGCCCTGATTACTACCAAGACAGGATACACAAGTTGGTCGAACGTTCTGACAAATGCCTAAACAGGTTTGGCGACTATGTGGAAAAGTGAAGGCCAGATGTGTCTCTTGATTCCCATTTGTATCTTGTTTCTATTGTTAATAAATACTTTTTCATTTGCCTTGTAAACTTTTTTTTGGATCACCCCTCGTACATTATATGACAATACTACAGACTGGTATAGAAAACTCATCTGATCCTTTAAAATAATAAATCAACTATACCATAAATTTAGAAAACAAATTTCACAATGCTTATGATTAAGTAATTCCAATATAATTAATTCAGGCTGATTATACAGTGGGGCTATATTTTGGTCTAATAAATTCTTCAAAAGCCAAATAAAGTAATTGTTCAATTTGATTTAAAGTTAAAAAGATAAAAACTAAATTTAATATACTACTACACTTAAAACTTTTTTTTTTTTTTTTTTTTTTTTTTAACTTGAAACTTTTTATTTTATTGTAATGAACTATATACCAAGAATAAAATGCACACTTAATTCGGATAGGGGAATTCTACAAGTGTTTCTCTTTTCATTTCACTTCAATACCAATGCAGATAACGACCCTTTTTAATACAGTTTGTCATTAAAGTAATTTAATCTAATTCCCTAAAAAAACTTCTAAAAAAATTGGAATAATTTTATCTCCTAAAACTTCTTTGTAGCGTTCTTGCATTTATTGTTTGTATGCATTATAAAGAAAGAAAATAACTGGAAAAATTAGCAGTAATTTGACTGCAACAGGAAATTGATTGGTTATTCATATGTCAGAATGTTGAACAGATGAAAAACATGTTATTAAAATAAGTAGATATATAAGAAAAATTACCCACATTTATTTCTCTTGGATTGCGCAGAATTATTTATAATTTTTTTATATGAAAAGCATTTTGTAAAACATGAGATACTTAGACTAAACTATATATAAAAAATTTTTAGATGAATATTTTGCCGCAGTAATAGAAATAAGAGGCTAACCAAATTTACTGAGTAAACAGCTTAAATTACGAATGTTACTCAGATATACTTACTGAAGTATCTGGCTTATAAACGCCACAGGGATGATAAGGCACCACACTCTTACATGCACCAACAGTGTAGTACAACACATCACAGCTTGTTAAATTAGAGCTAAAAGATAAGAGGGGAATATATATATATATATATATATATATATGAACAAACTGTGTTATTAAATAAAAGAAATAATTTTAAATTCATATACTATAAATATTTCAAACAATCCACTATATACCTAAACACCAATGAGCACAGAAACTGACCCAAAGTTATTCAGTATATTATAAGCACAAATAATAAACAATTATTTAGCAATTCTGGATTTTAGATCATCCATCTAGTAAAATGACACATAGAAAATATGAAATTTAAAAAAAAAAAATGAAACCTTTTTGAAATAATAAAGTATTTATGGCCTTAAGGGAATAAAAATATAAAATAAAAAGCTCAATCTTTATTTTTTTTTTACATTTCTGCATCTGATCCTGAAAACAGAAAAATACCAACCAGAAAAATACAATGCCAGCAACAACACGAACCAGTGCACCTCAATTGCACAATATTATCATGATATATCTCACGAAAATCTAACCTGAGAACACGTATAAAGCTAGAACAACCTTTTCATGGCTTATTCTATAAAAAAAACGGTGAAATTTTCTTCGTATTGTTGCTAAAGTCAGTTCATTTGATTCGGGTTTGCGTGTACCGACCTTCAGAGGTCATTCGCTGCAGTCGAAAATCCACCATTTGCTTTCAGGTTGGATTTCATGCAATTGATGCTTGTCACAGAAACAGCAGTCAAATCAGCAGCAAATGTAACAATTTCATCACCAGACTTATTAAGAAAATCCTCTCATAATTTGACAAAAGCATTCATAACAATAATCTTAGCGGAGCTGCATAGTGGTTTTTCAGCCTTAGAATGTTTTAAAATCATATACCTATGTCAAAGATGAAGCAGATGCCATTGCAGTTATTTCTTCTCTTTCTGGTCAATGCATGCATAAATGCTTCAAAATCTCTTCTCGTCGAGATTGGGGTGAGGTTGGGGTTGGTGGAATTTACAGTTTCCCCTATAATGCCAAAAAAGGGGATGTCTTTCTACTGGTCATCAGATGACTGACATGATATTAGCAAATTTTTAAATAAAAGGCTTGATGTAATGTAATCTATTTTTCATTCTGTTCTCTTTTCTTAACAATATTTATATTTTATAGCATAATTTCTATAATATGACAACTTGAAGTGATAGAACTATATTTTATGCCAGACGCATACACTTTCTACTGCATCCAGTGTTCTCAACTTAGGTTGACCATTAATATAGAAATGTCAAGGTGCACAGGGATTTTTTGGAACAGTAGTTAACATTAGTACATTTCTGCAACATTCACATAAACTAAAATCTCTAGTCTTACACATGTTGAGGTCTTTTCCATAAATATCACCAAGGTATTTTAACACACATATAGCTAGAAAAAATTACTTTTGTAAGTGCTATAATTTTGGACTTTTTACTGGGTTTGATGAACTCATCTGCAAATTGTTCAGCTGCTTCAGTATCAGCTGATGCTTTTTCACTTAACTTTTTAACTGCTTTTTATTTTTAATTTGATTAACCAACCTGAGTACGCACAGTCAGTTTTCAAGTCCATTTCCCCATGAAATATTTTGGTTTGAGCCATTAACATTGGACCCATCAATGATATGTCCTCACTGTGATATTGTCTCACTCATTCGAAAATAATTTTATCATGATTGAGCATAACAAATGATTTTTCTGTTTGATGTTCTGGTGATTTTCTTAAAAAGTTCCTTTTTTTTTTTGTTCAATTAATCATTTATTTTTTTAGACAGATATGCCTGTATCTAGTTTTTTTCTTTTCTTTTTTTTTTTTTTTTTTTATTGGTACTGTTCTGTTATCGGGACCGAACTCAGAAATGTATGTGTATATGTATACACATACATATATTTGTACTTACATACATATACTCGTACTCACATATATACATGCATACATGAACACATCCATCCATACATGCATACATACATACATAATATTCTTCATCTGGTTCCAATAACACAACAGTACTTTTTTTAATAACAATTCCACTTTTTGCTTGACTGGCAATGAAATATGCTTTCAATCTGCAGTTTCTGCTGCAGCTCCAGAATTAGAAACTCTTTTCAACATAACTGAAAATTTAAATATTAGTTTTGATGAGCCAGTTAAAGATGGCAAGCTTGATCAAATTAGAAAGTTAAGGAACAGTGCAATTCGCTACATTAATTGAACTTAAGTTCACTAGGAATCCTTCTTCCTCATCTATTGCTATGCAAAAAAAAAAAGTATGAAGAACATCCCACTCCAAACAAATACATCTAGGGCTTCACTTATTGATGACCATATAGAAAAATACTACCCCCCTCAACCATTTAAGGGCTAAAAATGTGGTCATGAAAACATCAATACATCATTAATGAATGCATTGTCTTTGACCACAGTGTAATTATCTAACAAAGCGATATTTTAAAGTGCCATGTAAAAATCAATTCAAAAATAGGAGAAAAAATGCTTTTGCACACGCTTCAATTTTTCTTGAGTTATTACTTTTTCTATATCTATACTTTGTGAGAGGAAGAAATATGTTTTCTACTGGTGGTTCAGAAGTCTGGATATACATATGTGTCTGTGTAAATAATTAAACTGGAATGAGGGGGAGGTACAAAATAGAATTTTCAGCCCCACAAGTTGGAAATTTGAAACTACAGTCAAATATCAGAAAAGATAACCATTAAAAATATATATTTCCCTACATAAAAGTAATATGTACTATTGCGATGTAATGGCAGGTTTCTGGCACAAAACCTGAAAGGTTATATGCGGCGAATAAAAGTTTTATACTTTCCCACACAAATAATTGACAAACTTATGTATTGGATAAATATATGTTTAAAACAACAGCACACTATAAAATGAACAGAAATGATAAAATAATGAAAGCTGAGATGTACAATAAAATTCAGATAATGATAAAAGATATAAAACAGGAGTAAAATCCTACTGCATGATATACATTAAAATACGCAACATCAAATACCAATGTGCAACATGAAAAGAAAATCAAATTAAATGATAAAGACCTGTCACTTTCAAGTAGTCAAATAAATTAGTATTGGCCTCCTTCCCGATTATGGAGTCAAGAGGCAAGTCACAGTCATTAAAATACTTGAGTCGAAACCTGTTAAAATATGGACATTCTGCTACAAAGTGATGTAGAGAGAGAACAGCATTACAATGCGCAGAAATAGGTTCATTCTCAGCTTTTAACAAGTAATTGTGCATAATTCGAGAATGACCAATTCTAAGACAGGTTAAAATTAATTCATCCTTCTGGTTTCTAGTGGCCTTCCAATACTCTGCTTGAGATTTTACATTTCTCAACTTATTAGTAAGCTGATTATTCCAGAAGAGTTGTCATTCATTGAGGATTCTCTGCTTGATGACTTTCCTAATATTTCAATAGGATTCAAGCCGGCATGACCATCTCTCAACAGACTTTGCAGTAATACCTACCAGCTCATTTCTCTGTATGCCCACATGTTCAGGGACCTCATAGTACAGAATCTAATATCCTCGACTTCTCAAATTCAGATTTATACTTTGAATTTCATCAATTAATGGATTCCGAGCACCTTAAATTGCTTCTAGAGCTTTTAGCACACTAAATGAGTCAGTACAAATAATTAATATTTTCTGGCACTGTCTAGATATTAAAAGAAAGTGCATAATACAAAGCAGTTAATTCTGAAGTAAGCACAGAGCATGCCTCATGTAAGCGCTGACCCTCTGCATGGTTTCCAATCACAAAGGCTGCTCCAACTTGATTCGCTGCTTTTGATCCATCTATGTAAATGGCATATAACTGCTGTACTCATCTCTGTGCTAAAAAAAAATTGTTTATACATGATCTAGTGAACATGTACATACATGATCTATGTTGCATTTTTCAAGATGTTGGAGGACATGCAGAAGCCGAATCTGAGTATACTTCCAAGGAGGGATCTTAAAATATTTCACTGGCTGGATATCCACATCGTCCATGCAATATTTTCTTATTAGAGAGCAAGCCCTTACAGAGAAGGAAGGCATACGAGATGGTTGTGAGCCAAATAAGCAGTCACACATGTCATCAAGCAAAAGAATCTGACAAGGATGGTCAGCTTGCGATATAATGTTGAAATAACACTAGAGACACAAATGCTCACATCTTAATTGAAGGTTAGTTCATAACAATAAATATATGAGTTGCTCAGAAGCCAATATGGTTAAGTTCAATTTTTTATATTTTCTGATTTTTGTAAATTTTGATGAAGTAAATAATATTCTTCTTAGTTATTAAATGATTTACTCGTTGCTTCCTTTTTTCTAGGTCAGACAGCCATTTTTATAGCTTTTGAATATATTGTATAATAATTTCAGAAGCCATTGTAAGTCCACCATTTTTTCAATATTTTTTAGATAAACTTTGAAATAAAAAATAAATTATCCTTCTTCTTTCGATATTTGTTGGCAACACTGAAAAAGAACAAATTCATAGTAACTGTAACTGTTACTTCTACTATTTCGAATGGTTTGAGTTTTATGTACGTGCTTTCTTTTAATTTGAAATATCTAAACTTTGGTTGAAACATAAAAATATTACATTGATGTGTTTGTGAAAATTATTGCGTTATCAAAAATATTAAATAAATTTTCTTTAATAAATGTAAAATCTCGGACTGATCAAAAAAGTCAAGGGAAATAGGAAATGTTAAGGGAAATTTCTTATCTTTTTCATCTGCCAAAAGATATAAGCCCTAAAATTTTTAAGAGGCTGTCATTGTTCCAATAAATACTTAAGTTTTTATTTATACATGCTGTATATATCTTGTTTTTTTTTGCCAAGTTTACACTTAGAAAAAAGACTTTATATACTTTTCTGATCAAATTAATAAACCATGAATTTTAAAAATTAATGTATTAAAAACATTAATTTTCTCAATTTTTGTTTTCTGGACTTAACCGCATTGGCTTCTGAGTGACTCATATACACTCTGGACAGGAGATATTCTAAAGATTCCAGAACATAATCTGTTGAGCTTGATAGTGAATGGGATCTAGTTTCAATAAAACTGAAGACCTTTCTGATCCATAGACAAATGAGCTATAGTCCGATCTTGAGCCGACAAGTGCTCTATAGATATGGAGCAATAAACCATATTCTGTGCCCCAGGACTTTTAAAATATTTAATATCTTCAAACACTTCTTCCTCAAATACTGAACATGTGGAAGGAAGGTTAGCTTTTGATTGAAGAACACATCTAAAAATTTTACTTCGGATATAACTAGAATCAGTGACCCTTGAAGGTAAAGCTGAGGCTCAGGATGGAGACTTCACCTTCTGCAGAACTCCATGCAAACCAGCTTGGACTAAAATCATGGGACTGGACTAGAATCAGTCATAATCATATGAATATTTGAGGCTATGTTTAATAGAAAAAAGATTCGGGTACGACCGCCATACTCACCACGGAGCCTAATGACGGACCACAGATTCCTGTGTTAGGGCTAGCCAGACCTCTATGCAAATTGAAGCCTCAAAGTCAGCTATCCCAAAAGCAGATACTTCCCCAAGCCACTGACACAAGGACTGGTGACCAGTCAATTGACACCGGTGAAGACAACAATGTGCCTTCCATTTAGCTGAAGCAGAGGCCAAAGCAGCATGTTGAGGACAGTACCTCACTCCTCAACTACTAGGACTCTCCTTTCCAAAGACATAGGTCTCCATGCACAGCAAACACATGGGCAGTTTTCTCGCCACTTGAAAACTAAGAATAAAAACTATACCAGCTTCTCATGATGAGCCTCAACCTCTAAAGAGGGAGACGACAAAGGAGAATGATGGGAAAAAGTTTCAGCTCAGAGGAGAAGAGGCACAAAAGAGGATAGATCACAGGGGCTCCAGGATTGTGACATCCGTCTCACCAAGATGATGATAGCCCTAAAAGGCTAGGGTACCTCGGGATTGCCGCATCCATACTCACAAAAGTGAGCCCCTGAGGAAGTAGTGTTGTGAACTTGTTGAAATAAGTTTCATAATTGAATGAAAGTCAACAAACTGAACAAGAATTTCAATTTTAAAAGCTTTTTTGATTGCCTAAATGGAAATATATGATATAAACAGAAAATATCAAAATAATAAAAAACATATACAAGTTTGAATAAAACTAAAAAAAGGTGCGATATATAGATTGCTATTCATAAATTACTACAAAATTTCATCACCACTGTTCAGTTTTATTGCAGATGCAAAACAGTCTAAAGAAGAAAAATCGGAAATTTTGCAATTAACATTATTTGGTATTAGAGATTTTTTTTAAAGACCATGCTTACATATAACATTTTATAAAGTTTAAAAAGTTTTGATGAAGCTTGATACCATCTTTTGTTCATTTTATTGCCTTCTTTCATATTCTAGATGGATTAAAAAAATACACAACTCGTTTGGAAATTAGCTAGTAAACATTTGGAAATTAGCTAGTAATAAATTAATGAATACTTAACAAATCAACTTAGCAAAATAATACAGTCAAAAGTCTTTAATCCGGACTTGTCGGGACTTCGGCGATCCCGGATTATCGATTTTTCCGGATTATAGATCATCAGTTTAAATCTGGTAAGATGGCATGCAGAAATTATAAAATTTAAAATATGAAAACGTAATTTATAAAATAATGAGCAATTATGATCTAAATGGTATTAAAATTTACAAAAAAAGAAGCTTCATATTTATTTGTTTACTTTATTAAACATTTCTTTCAACGCACGCATGCGTAAAGCATACCTTACGCATAGCCGAAATTAGAAAATTGCAACCAGAAAACTATTTAATTTGTATTCGTGATATTTATAATGATGAGGAATTTGATTTAAATCATATCAAAGACGGAGTACATCCAGATTAAATACTACATTTAGTAAATTATAAGCCGAATAAAATAAAAACATCTGCCCTGCAGATAACGATAGTGCTGACAGATCAACTTCCAGTTCATTGCGCGCCGCGACGTCCCCCCCCCCCCCCGCGCAGAGCAGCGTGAAATTGATAAACAGATTTCGGAACGGTTAGATAAACAAAGGATATGCCTTTATCCATTTTTTGTAGCAATTCGTTTTTTGTTTGATGGATATCGAAAGATACTTTCGTTTTCTAGATCCTTTGGGAGCTCCAGCATCGGAAATTCTATTTGACATAATCGAAAGTTCAAGCTTACTTTTATAAAATTGCTCTTACAGTCTGCAAAAAATAATAAGCCGGATCCAATTCGAAGATTAAGGAACAATGCAATCGTCAACATTAATTGAAATAGATAATTAGATAATTTTAGCTTATACCGCCCGTTATACATTAAACGCGCTCGCGAAAACGTATTCTGCGCTTGCGCTGACGCATATGCGCAGTCGTAAAGGTCTTGCGCGCACGCGTAAACGCCTATGCGCATGTGTCAACGCGGCACATGCGCAGAAAGATTTTAGCTTTGAGGTTCGGATTATAGATCATTCCGGATTATGGGTGTCCGAATTAACGACTTTTGACTGTGTAGATAATACCAATAATGCTGATATGTAGTTGAAGACCATACATAAAGTGCTGTTATATTTACCATGCTGCCAGATTTATAAAATAATGAATATGTATTTTGCCTCAAATTTTTTCCAACTATAATTTCACATATATGTTTAATTTATTTTTCATTACTCATTTATTTATTTTGCTTCAGAAAGGTACAATATAGAAAGATTTGTAAAATAGTTATTTATCTGAAGGATAAAATGATGCATCAAAATTGAAAATAGAGGTAGACACATCATAAATAAGTGAACATAGCAGAACATAATGATGTATTTTGTATTTATTTTCTAAAGATATTATTTTGCTTTAATTTTTATTTCATTTCAGCTTCTGACATAAAAATTTTAATATATCTAAAACTTAAAACAGATAAAAGAGAAATCTTACTTTGAATGGAGATTTTAAATAAAATTATTTATTTTCCAGATTAACCAGCCACATGGCCCATTTAAAATTTTACATTTTCATGTTTTTTCTTAGAGTTTGATACTTTTAACATTAAAATTTTAATTTGATATACAATGTATAAAATAATGCAGAAGAATTTTAATACACACAAATGTAGGTTTATTCTACAATAAAAACATGTACATATATTCAGCTCAAAATTAATTAAAAAGTATACTTAACACAACTATATACTATTTCAATTAGTGAAATTAAATTATGCATAGGAATTTTCTCTCATAATTACCTTAAACTTAAATTTCACACTATTCTATTACCTTGGAAGGCAAAGATGTTTACTACTTTCACATGTACTTCGGAAGCCAAAATCACAACCACCATCTGAAAAGTTTAAAATGTTCTATATAAGAAAGCTTATAAGGAATATTAAGTGAAAAAAACACCTTATACAAACAAGAAGTTTATTCATAGCAACACTGATTAAAAATGAAACATGAAATAAATTTTAAAATAATTAAAATAATTTCAATCTTTCTCAATCTAACAGTTAAAATTATAAATTAAGCCTGTTCATCTAGAATCAAACTCAGGTCAAACTATCAGCTTTCTGTGGCTTACTGCTTGGCCGCTGGTGGGTCTTCCTAAACGGGAGAGCGAGTGATTTTTCTTAACACAGTTTCCAATTCTGATTTTTATTTATTAAAATTTTCTCAGCTGCTGTTGATAATATGTTTTCATCATACAGCTTCTGTCATGTTGAATTGCATAAAAATTGTAATGCTTAAGGGGGAGAAATTGTTTTCCCTCAAAATACCATATGCCTGGAAATAATACATTATTTTTGCTTAATTGCTTTCCAAAAATTTATTAAATTGCTCTAACAGGTCTAAAGTTCCCGGTGATATAAAAATTAAAAAAATAAATAAAAAAAAAGTGGGGAAGCCATCTCTACTTTCTCCTAGTCCTTTCCCCCTGCCCAAAAAAAGAGCTTTACCCAGAAAAAGAATAAAAAATTACATTTTTTTTACTATTATATAATGTATGTTCATTACATGTACACATACATACACATAATGAAGAATATGTATGTATGTGTGTTCCTCACACTCAGGTAGAAAAATGGCACCTAGAGCTACCAAATTTTGTTCACACATAGTCCTTCAACTAAACACATTGTGCTGTTAGGAATTGAGTTTTAAGTGTTCTTTCCCTCATTAGATGGTGCCAGAGGTTCCACTAGTAAAAAAAAAAAAAAATTAACTTTGATTTCCCATATTTGTTAAACTTCAGCTATATTCTTAAAAATGTATATGTAGTTTGCATAATGTTCCTGCATTAAAATGTTTTACATGACAAGAAAGCATTAATTCCCTGTATTCGCATGAGAAAGAGATATGAAACACAAAAAAATGGTGCCAGATTGCAGGATAAAAAAGATAATGAATATGTCTTTAAGAATTTCTTCTGTATTATGCAGATAGGTTTAGTTGAAAAAATGATGGCTGTAAAACAACAAAAAGTAATAAGTTTTTCCTATTTTTTAAATAAAATTCATAACAGATCCTGCATTTTGCCAGTGGATGCTGACACAAATTTATCAACAGTAGTTGACTGGTTACATGTGCACCTCAAAGACAGTATTTTGAATTTATTTTTGATTTATTTTATATTTTATACAAATTTAATGAATTTTTGATTAAAACACATCGATTTAAAAGAAGTGTGTTGGCATTTGGAAAAACACCATACATTTGTCATCCAAACTTAATCATTTAAGATTTTGAATATTCTATTTGATAACCCTTATTCTTCACTACTTTTATAAACTGTAATTTTCAAGACAATAAAGCCTTCTGTAGTATTAGAAGAGATATTTTATCCCATTGCTCATGAACAGCTTTCTAAAGTTTCATTCCTCACTACTTTTATAAACTGCAATTTTCAATACAATCAAGCCTTCTGTAGTATTAGAAGAGATATTTTATCCCAGTGCTCATGAACAGCTTTCTAAAGTCTAAGGAGGTTGTAGGTTCAACATTTGGACAACACTCTTTTTAAAAGTCCAAAAGCAAAAATGTACATGAATGAGTAAAAGGATGGCCTTAATACCATTTTTTCCAGGAAATTAACAGTAGATTTTGATGAGTCACTGCTTGCCTTTGATGCTGTTCTACTGATTGATCACATTGTGTATAAAAAGACATTATTTCATATTTGAAAACTGGGTATAAATATGGTTTTGATAATATGTAGAGTTGATCTTAACATTTTTCTCCACTCTCTTTATTTTTAATTTGCCGTTATATGAAAAACCAGCAAAAATCATAAATCCCTTAGAAAAACTTTCTTTAGATTCCTTGAAACATGTTTTAAGATTTTTTTTTTGGGGGGGGAGGGCGGACAGCAAAACAAGGTCATTTAAAATGTGCACACAGCCTCTGTAAGGTAATCTAAGACAGGAAACCAATTTAAGAGAAATGGTCTTGAGTTGACTGGACCATCTGCCAATGGCAGGGATCTCACAATGTAAATAGAGGAAAAACTTTTATAATTTTTAGTTCTTGTTAGGATGAGGAAAAGAAGTATAGTTTGGCACTTGTATGTTATTTTTTATCTAGAATGGCTTCAAAGAGGAAAAGACTTATATTAAAACAAAAAAAATCAATGTGATTCATGCAGCAGAAATTGAAAAGCTTAGTTTGAGAGATTTAAGGGAGAGATTCGGAATAAGTAAAAACCACGTAAGTCTCCAATGGGATAGAGAAGAAATAAAAATATTATGGATACTCAATTAAAATTAACATTCCAAGACTGTAAAATTTTGAAAAACTGAAAAATGTGATATTGATACAGTAATGTTCATTGATTTTGTTGTGTAACAGCAAACAATACTCCTGCATTTGGAATATTATTGCAAGAAAAGGCAAAAGAAGTTTCAGAAAGTCTGGATTACAGAACTTAAATTATTAAATGGTTAGAAAAAATTATGCAAAGATATAATATTAGTTTTAAGACTATTTGTGGTGAAGAAAAATCAGTAGATAAGTACATGTAACAGCTAATCTTTGGAATATGGTTACAGGTAGTTTGGCAACATTTTGGTAAAGCGATAAAGGTTACTAGCTAGGACTTTAGCAGTGTACATGGATAAAGTCAAGAGTGTGCGCAATGCCCTTTTTGTGTAATTCTGGAATTTTTTTTTAAGTGAAAATAGGTCGATGTGTACATGGATGATACTGTGTATGTGCAATTCTTAAAAACGTGGCAAGCAGTGGGTGATTCTGCACTTTCTCCCAATTTCGCATCTAATCTTCATCATGATTAAGCACTTTTGTTCCATAAAAGTTCTAGCATAAGCGTAATTCGGCTAGCAGATTGTTGGGGGAAAAATGTTGAGGGGGGGAACATGCCTTTACTTTGTGAAAACAAAATGGCGTCCAAAAAAAAAAAAAAAAACTAGCAGGTTGCTGTAGCAGGGTTGGTCATCAAATTTTCGCCAAAAAATCGCCAAGTTACCATAATCCAAAGATTAACCCATGTAACATATTGGTTAAAAAAGATAAATGAAATATGAAGGATATGAGGCTAAACATATACAGTGGAGGTGAAACTGGATCACTTTATCAAATTTTGCCTAATAATATTCTATGCTTCAAAGGAGAAAAGTGCTCTGGTGGTAAAAGCTCCAAGGAACATATCACCATGCTATTTTGTAGTAACAAGTTGGAAGGAGAGTCTGAATAACTTCTTGTAATCAAAAAGGCCAAAAAACAAAGACATTTCAAACACATTAATCTAAAAGTTTTATCAGTCCATTGGCATCTTAATAAAAATTCACAGATGATGCAAAGCATAATGTCAGAATGTTTGATTGCTCTTGATGCAACAATGTCTAAAAAAAAAATAGGAATATTCTGCTATTTCTTGACAATTTGCCAGCCCATCTACCAAATGTAAAACTGAAATCAGCAAGATTAGTGTTTTTCTTACTTATGGCACATTAGTATTACAGCCTTTGGATATAGATATAAGTGGAAACTTCAAGGTTTGTTACAGAAAACTGTTTTTATGGCATGTCAGTGGTTAACACAGATTGTTAAATTTGTATACAAGGTTGTGTTCAGTACTGTTTTAAAAAAGAAAGCTTTGAAATTTGTTTCAAGTGAAAACAGTACTGGTAGAAATGAACTGTTTGAACTTGTCAAAATCAGGGGCAGTGCTCAAATGCAAGAATACTTAGCAATTAAAGAAAACTTGTGTACTGAAAATGACATACAATCTTTTATTTCGACTATAGTTGATGTGAGCTTTAACAAAATAACTTGGGAAGCAGTGAGGAAGATGATGAAGAGCCAGAGGAAACATGTGACATAAAAAACTATATAGTAGCTGCTTTAAAGTACATGTCCTAATTAAAAATATTCACGGACAATGAAGATTATCAGTGACTTTAAAACCCCCATGGCAAAAAAATCCTTGCAATGCACATACCGTCAAATAAACCCATGCAACAGACTATTCTGAATAAATTTCACAAAGTACAAAACTTTATTCATTTCATACTTTCTGCAATGAATCCACTTTTTTAAATTAAGAATTTTCATTTTTTATTCATTCAAATTCAAATAAACTGTGACTGTGTTATACACTTATAAATAATTTATTTAAGCTTCATACAATTTGAATTTCTAATTAAATTACATTTCCTTTTCAGTATATACTCTCTGAAGACGGGATATCTCTATTTAAGGAGAAAATAATACCAAATCTTTATAATTTCCTGATTTTTTTTTTTAAACAAAAACAAATAGCTGTGCTCACTTAAAAAAAATCACATATTGCACAAATCTGGTATCACATACAGGCTTAACACTGCACACATTACACATTATACATAATTTTATTATATTCACAATGTATGAAATAGTTATTCCTTTTATGTATCATTACAATTGCAGCCATCTAGGTAGCTTTCCCACTTTTTATGTTTACTGCTAAGTGCACCCTGTTAAAAGAAAAGGACCTATTTTTTTAGCAATTTATTTTCAACAGTGTTCAGTGTTTTAATTTAAGTTTTTAAAAATGGTTTGACAAACTGAATGCTATCATTTCGAATTAAATTAAAAATTTGAAGCCACATGTATGATTCATTACTTCAATAAATTAAAAGTATGTAAACACATATGTAAATTACCTAAACCAAAGTTGAAGTCTTCAGCTTTTGAAAAGTTTACTTTATACCATCCAGTGCTAGCAAATAATGCTAGAGTTATGTTATCAGTTACAACATAGTCATCCTATAAAAAAAGTCATTTGCTCCATAAGAAATATACAACTTTTCTAAAACTAAAACGTATAACTACATCAATGCCATATTAAATGCAGAAGTTTTAAATTTAAAAAAAGTCATCAACGAATTTAGAAAAGGTTTTTTCCTTAAACACAACCTCTTTAAAGTCAATTTCTTCTATATAATTTATTGTTTATCTAAGTTGCAAGTCAATGTAATTATTTGAAAAATTTTGATTTAACCTCTATAGGACGGGTGTATCATATACGCATCAGCAGCTAATCCTCTTACAAGATGGCATGCTGCTTAGCATAATTCACTTTGGAGACAGCATGTTGCACCAGTAGAATGCAGCTTTCGATGCACCAGTGCATCAACCGGCTGCTAGCAATATTTGGGATGGATGCATACATGACACACACGTCTGCAGAGGATTTTCATTTCAGCAATATATTGTTGCGAGGGGTTAATCCTCTGAGTGGCATCACCAGCCAGTCATGAGATTTTTTTCATCAGTTGGTATATATTAGCTTATAATTTAAGATATTTTGCTTCATTACTTTCTTTAATGACATAAATGTCATCTTAATGAGTGTAACTTTATGAAAATAAAGACTAAAATAAATAAATATACAAATTTAACTAATAAATGCTGTTTAAACACAGGTCTTCAGGACAGATTCAAAAATCTGCACAGCTCAGAGGGTTAATATGACTACAACCCATCTAACTGCTATTTATAAGCTACCTAAGTTTTTTCATTTCTGCTCTAGTCAATATTGACAACTTAAGAGCACAGATTATTGTAACCTATACAGGCAGACAAATTTAATTACATGCATAACTTCTGCTATCAGTTTTCGTGGTAACTTAACATGCTGCTTGGACAGAAATCCACATCAAACATAGAAACCTTTTTCTTTTTCTTTTTTTTTTAATAGTATATAAAATATTCTTTAATGTCAGCCAACAAAATATTACAAAAATAAAGCAGATTTGATGCCACTTGATTTCAATGCAAATTTTTCAAGCATTTAACTGCCAATAAGAATAGTATCATTGAATTTCACGTAAAAGACAATATCGAAATACACTCGTCATATTAGGGCTGTGGAGTTGGAGTTGGAGTCAGAGTTAGACAGATTTTGCTTAAAAGGAGTCAGAGCTAGATTTGCTTAAAAGACGTTGACTCCGACTCTAGTTTTTGTTGGACAGTTAGAATTTGAAATGAAATTAAAGTGAATTGGAAAAAAAAATCATGATAAACTGAGTTATTTTTATTCATAGACTACATACATTAATAAATATTTAGTTATTTTCTATTTTATTGATATATTAATGAATAAATATAAGGAAGGAGGATGGATGTGACATTTGCCATTATTCATTAAACTGATTCATTTAGTTACTTTTTCAACTCATAGATGGCATAATTGTAGCATAATTCACAACAAGAAAAAGGAGCCCATGGCTGCAAAATGCAAGTTGAGTCACCAAATATGGAACTCAAAAGTTCAGTTTTTGCATCTTTCTCATTTTTTCATGTACATAAAGACTGCCTAAATCAAAATAGTGATAATTTACTATTTAAAAACCTTATTTGTGGGTTACTTTAATACAGTTTTTATATATGTGCCATGAATGCATGTTTTACAAAATGGCTACACTAAGGATATAGATGGAACAATAATACATGTGGATAAATAGAAATGGCCATCCCAAATACAGTCAAAAGTCGTTAATTCGGACACATATAATCCGGAATGATCTATAATCCGGACCTCAAAGCTACAACTTTCTGCGCATGCGTCGCATTCACGCATGCGCACAGGTGTTTACGAGAGCGCGTAAGACCTTTACGGCTGCTAATATGTTTGGCGCATGCGCATTTAATGTGTAACGGAGGTATAAGCTGAGCTACAATTATCTAATTCAGTTAATGTTGCAGATTGCGTTGTTCCTTAATCTTCGAATTGGATCCGGCTTATTATTTTTGCAGACTGTTAGAGCAATTTCATAAAAGTAAGCTTGAACTTTCGATTATGTCAAATAGAATTTCCGATATATATTTACTAATATGTAATTTGTATCTACAAAGCGAAAGTATGTTTTGAAATCCGAAATCTGTTTATCAATTTCACGCGGAGGATTGGAAGTTGATCTGTCAGCACTATCCTTATCTTCAGCGCAGATGTTTTTATTTTATTTGGCTTATAATTCCTTACTAAGTGTAGTATTTTATCTCGATGTACTCCGTCTTTGATATGATTTAAATCAAGTTCCTCGTCATTATAATTCGCTTCCGATAGTGAAGAAAGTGACCCAGAGGTTATTGAAAACGAAAACATTTCGATTGACAAGTAAGTCGGTATTCTCGGCACAGAAATTACGGGACTTGAACAGCGGAACTTTGTAACCGAACAAGAAATTATGTCTGTTTATAGAATTAAAGAGAAAGTATTATCGCAGAAAACGAAGCAACTTAAACAACTTACATTGAAAGAAATGTTTAATAAAGTAAACAAATAAATATTAAGCTTTTTTTTTTTGTAAATTTTGATACCCTTTAGATCATAATTGTTCTTTATTTCATAAATTACGGTTTCATATTTTTAATTTTATAATTTCTGCATGCCATCTTACCAGATTTAAACTGATGATCTATAATCCGGAAAAATCGATAATCCGGAATCGCCGAAGTCCCGACGAGTCCGGATTAACGACTTTTGACTGTATATTAAATTGTATTATTTTTTTAAGTTTTAAGTAAATTTTCATAACTTTAAAATTATGATGGATCCAACAAATGTTTAAGCGATTGCAATAAATAAAATATTTTTGCTTACATTTTGAAATAAAAATTGCTGAAAAGAATATCTAGATATACAGTAGATAACCAATATTCCACAAACACCTATAACCAGCGTTGCATCTTTGAATGTAAACAATATACATACAACATTATATATATATGTAAGATATAATAAAATGTGATGGCTATGTTAAGAAATTATTGGTGACCTTAAAATTGACTATTCTAAGTTTTATGTCCCCCACCCTAAAAAAAGTCATTCTGGCCTAACATTCTGGGCCAAACCGGTAAGAATTTGTTCCAGAAGGTTCTCCATCCATCTATGGCATATCGTCATTTTTGTCGCCAAATATGGCAACCCTTTAAACCTGGTTTGCAGGAAAGCTATCCTATAATGGCTGGACATTTCCCAACAATACATATATGATAATTAAGTAAAATTAATAATTCTATTTGCCTTTGGCTTTTTTCCTATTTGTGAGGATATTTTAGTGTTGCTGTCATTTAATTTTATTTTTAAACATAGATAGAAGCACTGGTGTAGCTTTTTTTTTTTTTTAAGATTTTTCATCCATAACACATATTTATTATTATTGAAATGTAATTTCATAAATATTATTGTATGATGCTCACTTACGTAATTATTTCACATTTTTCCAGGTATTCGTATTTATGTATTCTAAAATCTGAAGCATGATGTCAAAGAAACAATCCAGGAGACCAAGTGTCTATGAATATTTCACCATTATAACAGATGAAAAGTATTTTGCGTGTCAGCGTGAGACTTTAAAGTGTGGTATTGATGGTGAGAAAAAAAGTCTTTGGTGCTTCAACAAGAACCTCAAATTTATTGAAGCACATAGCACGCTTACATCCACAAATTTTTGATAAAATTGTGCAACAGAAAAAGAGATATCAGGACCTTGCACTTCTACTGGTGGCAAGCTTACCCCACTAGTTTTTTTCACTACAGACAAGATAATTAAAACTATGACTGATGAGAGATTTTTAAAAAAAATCTTATTAACATAATTGTACCAAACAGTGTATTCCTGAATGTATTTTTGCAACCTGCATTCCTAGGACTTAAATAACAAAATAGCAAGGAAACTTGGAACTTCATTAGACATGGAAAGTGGCCAAAAACTTATTTTCAATAATGGTATGAGCACGAAAAAAATTTGAAAGATGACCTCAAAGAGAAATTCAAATACTTAAAGATGGATACAGCTACCAGACACAGAGTAAACTATTTAGAAATTAATGCTATATTTATTAATAATGATGAAGTGATCATTACAGAGGCACTGGCCATAAAAGATACTGAAACTCATCATGATAGCCATTATCTCCAAAAATTAACTGAAAGAGTTTTAAAAGAATCTGAAGAAAAGGAAAAGCAGATTCTTTGCATAGATACTGATAATTCATCTAATATGGTTAAAACAATACAGAAGATGAATGAAGATGAAGAAATTGTTATAATAGATGAAAAAAAAGACAGCTTTAGATGCTGAAACTTCTCAAGCATATTTATATGAAGCTTTAGATGTTACTGCTGAAGAGGCACCAAAACTCTGCCAAATCAAACAAATGCATTGTGCAGTCCACAGCTTGCTGTTAGAGATGGGTTGAAGGAATCTCATGCTTGTGCTCTCATTGGTAAATTTAGGCAAGCAGCAATAGTAACAAGAACTCTGAAAATTCATGCCATTCTTAGGAGGCAAGCAGGAAAAGGAGCAATTATTAATCAAGAAACATGATGGTGAAGTACACATTTGATGATAAAAAGGTTATTAGAATTAAGAATTTTTTTAGAAGAAGTAGATAACCCTAATTTTTCACTAAGAAAAAGACTGTGGAATGATCTTGCAGAATTGGAAACACAATATAGCCACAAAAGGGCTATAATCCGATAAATTATGTGGAAGCTTGTTTCCGCAGAAATGGAAGAATGTGATGTCGTTCTTTCTAAAATGTGAGAAGTACTGCAGAAGGAATCATTTCCCCAATGAAGAAAACAGAAACTAGTTTGCTAGACAATAAGATATACGTAGATCCAAAACACTGAATTTTGGTGGATGACAAAAAAATTAAAAAAGCAAAGAAACGCATTTATGAACTTTCACTAAAAATGAAATTATTCTCAAAACAATTGGAGTACTCAAATCAGGACAGTCAGACTGCAGATACTGCAACTGAGTCTCTATTATCCTCTTCCAACGATGAATTAGATTTTGAGAAAATTTGGATAACATTGAAGAGGCTAAGGCAAAGAGAATGAAAATAAAGAACAAAGAGCCTCTAGATATACAAATGAAAAAATACAAACAAGATTTCTAAGCAGCCCTTGAAGAAATAGAGAAATATAAAAGCTCCTGCAAGATACCTGTTTTAGAACTAACACAAATCTATCATGTAAAGTTAAAAGACCCTAACAGTAACAGCTCTTTCTCCTCCAGTTAGTGTGGAAAGACTATTCTCAGCTCTGAAGTTTATCAAACTGGATCTATGGTCCTCTATCAAAAAAGATCTTGCCGAAGATATACTTTTTCTTAGAAATTACTAATGCCAGTTTTCCCATTTCATAATAAATGCTAATTAACTCTTTGAAATCCAGACCCTTCGCTAACCTGTATCTTCAAAATACCAAACCGCCCTGCAATTTCCTCCCCTCCCAGTCCATTAATGTGAAAAATAGGTGTGAAGATTTCGAATGACATCCTTTGTAGTTTCTAACAAAGATTCCATTAGCCTTTGACCCCATTCTTTATAAAACTATTCTGAAGGTCAGACTAACAAGCCTTTCTGGCTTTGTTATGATCACAACTGAGATTTTGTTTATTTTCGTTATTTTTATAGGAAGGAATAAACTGATTAAAAATAAATATAATCCTTAAATTTTTAAACTGCACTTTTATTGCTGTTTAAAGCTTAAAAGCACACTGTACCACAAAAGAATCAACAACAGAATGTCACGAGCAACTAAAAGATAAGAAACCTCTTAGGACAAGCTGCCTGCAGTAAACTAATACAATGCATTTGTTGAAACTGCTCCTGCTACTGCATACCTTAGGGGGAGGGAAGAAAACAAGAACTTGGCTGTTTTCAGGTGGTTCTGGTTGTTTCAATGTAGAGCCGCATGGGGAGGATTGGTTGTGAAAGAGTTAATGAAAATAATCTGTTATGCCATCATTTTTTTTTTTTTTCTGTATATCTATTACGTCTTTTATCTTAAAAAACAATAAGCTGTAATACATGTGTATATGTTGACATATATATGAGCGAGTCAGAGTCTTTAAAATTCCAGGAGTCTGAGTCAGCCATTTTCCCTACCAACTCCACAGCCCTGCATCATACAAACAGAAGACATTAATTAAGTATGCACAGAATATTGTAAATCTCTTCCTTGTGATATCTTCAGTAATATTTCTTTTTCTCTAATTTATAGATTATTTTATGGCTTAAGTTTATTATTATCAATAAATATCTGAACAACAGTAGTCTGTTGATGCTCATGCAAAAGCTTAAGTTTGGAGGAACTCAAAAATTACATGAAGACTTTTGACAGCATTGCAGTTGGTAACCTTAATGCATTTATTATTCAAGGGCTTAATTATACTCTTTGAGGGAGGGATTTAAAACAAATCAAGATTTTTTTAAAGTAATTTGTAAGGTTCTTAACTTGCATTTGCATACAAGGGAAATAATTAAAGGATATCATCAAACTGGCAAGAAGTAAAAGATATGGCACTGCTATATCTTTTCTGAGCCAAAAATAATAGTTTATTAATATTATGGCCTTTCAGATACTGTTTCAGTAAGCAATATATGATAAACAGATCAAAAATATTTTTAATACTCTGAATTAAGTAAACAATTAAATAATTAAATTAAGTAAATCATATTGAATGGAACACATAATTTTTTAGTGAACTGGCAAAATGGAATTCAAATTATGAGCAAAATTAAGTGACTATAGAAGTCTTTTTATAATCCTTTTCACCTGTATTGTTCTCATCATTTTTTAATAAAAACTAAACATGAAAAAAAGAAAGTGGCAATATCTTTCAACCTTTCCTGATTTATTTTAATTAATGCAAAGCAATGGTAATTTTTTTACAGCATCATTAATGTTGTCCAATAAATACACAATTGAACAGCGATTAACTAACTAACTAAATAAATCTTCAGAGTTCTTTACAGTTATTAGCATACGCTGATGACACCAATATTATAGACAGAAGCAAATAGGTGGTTTGGAGACTTATATTTCTCTAGAATCTGCAGCCAGACATTGGACTTACCATTAATGAGTTTAAAACAAAATTTATGGCAGTAACTAGCAGAGTACATAATCCCCTCCCACTGGAAATAAAATCTTATACTTTCGAGGGTGTTTCTCTGTTTACATATCTTGGTACCACCATCTCTAACAGTCCTAATATTAAACTTGAAATTGACAATGGATTAATTAAAGCTAATAGATGTTATCATGGTTTAAAGAATTTTTTAACATCTAAATTATTAAACTTCAAGACAAAAATAAATCTTTATAAAACTCTTATTAGACCTATCATATTGTACGGTAGTGAATGGTGGGCATTAACAAAGGCTTCTAATTTTTTTTAAGAAAAATATTGCAAAAAATATACGGCCCAATTATAGAAAAAAATAGATGGAGAATTTTGTTTAAACATGAAATATATAGAAGATATACACAACCTAATATTGTCTGAGTCATCAAATCTTATCATATCAGGTGGCTTGGACATATTTTTAAATATGACAACTTCAACCCTGTTAAAAAGGTAACCTTTGCAAATGTACCAGGAAAACATGAAGACCTCGCATAAGATGGATAGACAGGACAGACAGATCTCAGAATTCTAAAAATCAATTATTGGCAGACCGCAGAGACTAATCGGAAGCTTTGGAGGAAGCTTGTTGAGACGGCCTTTGCCTGTGATAGGCTGTATTATATTCACCGAGTACCTTGTATTCTGATTGTAAATTGGCAAAACAGCCAAAAACAAAAAAGCATAGAAATCCTACATGTAAAATCATCAAATACTAGCCTTTGAACCTGTAAAAAAGTGGTATATAAGGCTAATGAAAGGAATTTTTAGCATTACAGTAAGTTTTTGTAACTACAAAAAAGAATTAATTTTCTTTGTACCTCAAAGCAGCACCGGGGGGGGGGGGGGAATGATATATTGTCTTTTGATGCAGTTCACCACATTTTTGAAAGATGACAACTAAGACTATTATCTGCAATACAACTAAGAAACATTACATTAAGTGTTTTTGTACGCTAGTATTTTTTGGCAACAGTGTCATCAGCTGCAGTTTTCAGGCTACCAACATCTCAAAATGAGGTTTGACCATACAGTTTCTTATTGAGTTTCCTCCCTATGTGGATCAGGAACAATGAACGATCACAATGAAGAGATTTGTAAAAATGTGTTAACCAAAAACTTCAAAAAAAAGAGAGGGGAGGAAGGAAAAATAGAAAACACTGTAAAAAGGTAAAAAGAATAAATGGAGAGAAATAGTAATTGCATTCAATACTTACTGTAACAGTTTACTCATACACTTATTCACATTTTTCTACACATGTTCATTCATGTATGCTTTCTTCATGTACACATTACAGCTAAGAACAATTTGTACACTTAATTACATTCACTTTCTGGCTATTCAGTGATTATATGGGACACAGTATATTGTGAGCAATTATTTTTAGCTCCTTCCTAGCCACGATAATCTGTTTGTGAGGTAAGGGATTGGTAATTGTTATCTTAATAGATTTTTTTAATAAACCTTTACATAAAAGTTATAACCTCTTTAACAGTTTGTATGTTAACTACAAAAATAAACTTACCTCAGATATTGAGGGTGTCATAATGCTGGTGTACATAAGAACAGGATGCCAATGAGAAGTATAAGACTTGTTTAAAAAAAGGAAAGAAAATATATTAAAAACTGTTCAATGGAAAACATTAGAAAAAGTCATAGGTCATAATTTCAGGTAATTCCAATTTAATAGTCTCATTTTATATAAAATGAACATAATTCTAATATATTTTAAATGTACACATAAATTATAATATATTTCATTAAACTGGTACTATACAATAACTAATGGAACATAATTTCCAATTCAGTACTACACTAGAACATTTTTTTATATTTAAAAATTTTTAGTAATATTAATTACATTCACTTTCTTGCTATTCAGTGATTTCTTTTCCCATCTATAATATAATTTTTACAAATTTAAAAAATCATTAATCTGACTTAAAGCAATAAGAAACTATTTTAACTTAACTCAGATATGTAATCCGTAATGAGATATTCCTTTAGTGAAATGTTGGTTATCTTAAGTTAAAAGGAATAAAAACTCTCATCTGAAATTAAACTAAGATGTAATAAATATATTTAAATTATATTTTATCTTAACTGATAATTTTTGTTTGTTACAATATTGATAAGCAGATTAATTAGATATTCATTAAATAAGAATATAAGTGGTTCTCAGTTATAAATATGATAAATTCCTGTGATTTGTAAATAATTTAAATTCTTGAAGAATAGCACAAATAATAACACTAATTCTTGAAATATAACTAATAATATCATAATGATTAAAATATGATAAAAATGATACAGAAGAAAAACAATATATTAACAATTTACAGAAACTATTGTACTATTCTTTTAGTTCGCACAAACATGAAAATAAAATCTTATAAACCAAGAGAGAAGAAATAAAAAATAATCAACTGTACTTTCTAGTTATCCACATCTGCAGTTTCAACACTTGGTATAACTGTTGTGTGGTTTAGCACATTTTCAAGTTTACAAGTCACAACAGACTATGCACGTATGAACAACAGAGGTGTTTGAGTGCACATTGATTTACATGTGTCCTATTTAATTATAGTTTCACTGAACAATATCCACAGCTGTCAAAATGTAAATATTGGGCTTATATACTTACCTCTCTGGAAAAAAAACTTTGTTTATTATAAAATGCTTCTTTTTATTGTCATTTATGCACAAAAGAATACCTATAAACTATGTAACCAAGCAAATATTTTTCACCAATTCCCATGTTGAAGAGTTGAAAGCTTTTCATGGAGGTGTAGATAAACAGAAAGTACCCAATTAATTTAAATCTTGCTTCATTGTTTTTCTTTCTGGAAGGGGAATATCTGGAAGTGAGGCAAGAAGACTGGCTAATCAGATGAAATGAATGCTACAGAATTGGAATTTGATTTACATACAGTAATATAAGTATGCTCTGCAGTTTTCTTCCTCTCAGTTTCCTTTGACAACTTTGAATAGCTTTCATTGCAGACTTTATGTAAATTGTTCCATTCAAATCAAAGACAAATAAAGTTTGATGTCAGTTTTAGCAACTGAGAATTTTTAAAAGAAGGACTGATTAGACTATAGCTAACCTCATAAAGGGAACTCATATATATATAATGAAAGCAAAGGGTTTCGACCAAAAATCTCTTTAAGCTTTTTTATTTGAAAATAATGCCAAAGGCAAGATAGAATTTTCCAAGGGATTGTCAAAAGTTCAAATTGGCATCCATTTCAAGCATAGTTATTATTTCACAAGATACAGATAGATCAAACAAGAAGTTTAGAGGCACTTACTGCATAAAAGTATTTTAGATAGGTCGGATGCAGGGAAATAATATAATAGTACAGTACTATTGGATTCCATTACCCTCAATGCATTCATGATTAAAATTATGCTGGAGATGAATGAAAACTAATTATCATCATTACTGGTCAACGCCTATGATCAGTGATAGGCATAAACGCACTCATGAATTTATAAGTCCAAGCAGCTAATACCAGAAGACAAGCTGGGAGGGAACAGAAGAAAAGAAAGAGGAAAAAATAAATACTTACATTATCTGATGAATTGCTTTGGGGGTTTGCTGCTAAAGGCGCACCAAATTCATCATCTGAACAATTAAAATGACTTTGCATGCTTTTCACAACTTCAGGATAAAGTAACCGTTGTACTCCAAATGAATCAGTTTGCACGATTTTCATAGGAACGTTACAAAAGGCTAAAAATGATTTAAAATGGGTCAGGAAAATTATAACAAAAAACAGAGGAATTTACATTGCTTATTCAAAACCGAAAAGGTGAAATATATTTGAAAGGTACTTGCTTAATAGACAGACACAAAATAATTTTGTAATGCTTAGGATTAAAGAATATGATAATTTGCAAATACAGTGGTTGTATTAAAAAAATTAAGAAACTAGACTGCCCTATTTTATCAGCAGATGGTTTTTAGAACTATTAAACTATATATACATGATTAAAACACTCAAATCTATAAATTTAATATATACCTCAAAATACGAATTTTATTCATTGCATGATAATTCTTATCAAAGTTCAGTAGGTCAAAATTCTTTAATACCTTTTGTAATGTCATCTTTTTCATCTTTATTTTTTATATTATTTATTTATTTTTCGTATATTTTATTTTTGCTACTTAATTCTACAACTCTAACCTTTTAACATGCCAAATCAAATTTTGTTCCCATTTTATTCACAATACGAGAACTCCAGAATACAACAGATATAATAATAATAACAAAACTATCTTATCGTGCTTTCAGCTAGAAATACAAAATTAAATTAATGAAAACAAATTGACTTCAGCTTCTTCCAGGAATAACAGACAACACAGAATTCATTTATTTATAGTTTACACATTTAAGTTATGTCCTAGCACCCAGCTCTGTTAATTTTATGAACTACTACTAAATATTCAAAGTAAAGGGGAAACTCACTAACAGACAGCAATAATGTTCAGATGTAAAAGAGACATATTCATGGAAGTAACATTCAGTATGCACCATTCATCCTTAAATATTAAACTTGGTTATGATTTGAAAGGTAAATACACTTTTTTCCCACTTTTCCAAAAGATATAATAAGTCTAAACTATTCTTTATTTGTTGACAGAGGTTGTATTCATGTTAGTGACTTTTGACCTCATATCAGTATGGTAGTCATGAATACACAAACCATTTATCATTTAACATTAAGCTATTAAACAAATACCAAATGATGATGTGCAGATTTAAATGAAATGTCCAAACTACTTTCCCCCCCCAGCATGGACCTACTGTGTTTCTCTTATATCTAATGACATCCCCCCGAAGCCTTATCATGCTATGATAATAAATACTGAAAGCATAAATCTGAAATTTAAGATACTGCAATAATTTTTTTCATTAAGACATTCATTATACAGAAATACTACAATTCGCAAATGAAAAAAAAGTCCAATAAATACAAATTACAAAACTAAATTTAAACACATGCATTAAAGATCTGTAAATGAAATGGAAACATGTAAACATTTTATTAGCATACAATTTTATATTTTACATTCTATTAAATTATAAGCCCCCCTCTTACACACACACACAAAGAAAATCTGGACAGCTTCAGGAAGCAACTCTAAAAATTTTTATTTTTATTAACTAATTTAGTTCAAGGGTTTGGGAATTACAGGACTAAGTGCATATATTCTACAGGTTCGTTAACCAAATTTAAAACTTGCCATGGTATAAGAAAATTTAAAAATTTCAGGTAAAAAAGCTTCAGCTGATACTGAAGCTGCTGAAATATTTGTAGATGAATTTATTGAACTCGCTAATAGTGAAATGCTATCTCCAGAACAAATTTACAACACTCACGAAACTCGTCTTCTCTGGCAATATGCATCGCGAAATATCTTGGCAACCTCTACAGAAATGGCTCAACTGGTGTCAAAGATCCCAAAGAGAGATTAACAATTTTGGCATGTGCAAATGCTGCAGGAACGCATAAGTGTAGACTTTTCATAATCAGGAAAAATACACAACCTCGAGATTTAAAGGAGTAAAGATTTTCCCCATTATATATATTGTACAAGTGAAACAGCATGGATGATACAAGCGTTAACGAATGAATGGTTTGAAAATCATTTCATACCCGAGGCTCGGCAACATTTGAATTCGGGTGGTTTACCTGATGACACATAAACTGTCCTGGTTGTAGACAACAGTTCAGCTCATACTTCAATTAGTTTTAGTGAAAGATAATGTATCCATATTATTCCTTTCTCTAAAGTGTATGTCTATCATTCAGCCTATGGATATCGGAATAGTGTGTGCGCTGAAATGCAAATATAAAACAGCATTTTTAAAATACATATTAAATTTTTTGAATGGCAAGATTATTCAAGAATTTTTGAAATATTTTAGCATAAAATATCCTGTGTGGAGCATCACAAGGTCGTGGGAGGATGTGTCTCCAGATACTTTAAAAAATGCTTGGCATACTTTATAGCCGGCTACCATACTTCATGGTGAGGATGAGGAAGATGATAGCTGCGAATGTGAAGGTTTTCCGATATCACAAACCAAAGGTGCAATTTTTCACTTAATGGATTTTGAAAAGAAATGTGGAGAAGCGGTAATAAATGAAGATAATATAACAAAAGAATATTTATTGCAATGAAAAGCTCCAATCATCAATCAATTAATGAATGGCAAAATCTGTGGAATGGTTCTAGATCCAGAAAATAAAATAAATAATAATAATAATAATAATAATAAACTGAATAAAACTAAAGCAATTATCTACACCCAAACTTCACTTTTGTAATTTCTAAGAACAAAACAAATCTGTAAGTAGGATACATTATTATTAAACATTATTTAATATTTAATTATAAAATAAATTCAAGAGTAAAATTCACAAATTTTTTCAAGTAATTTGCATTAATTTATAAAATTTTTTGAAACATTTATATCTTACACTTATAATAGTCTCACATAGTTTAAACAAGATTAGTGACTTTTTATTTAAATTTTACTAACAATTTTATATTGACTCTTTCTTTTATGCCTCATTTCATCACGTACTCACTCAGTCCAGAGGTACATGCAAATTTTGTCAACTGGCATAAGTTAAACTGTGAAGTAAAAATAATAATCAGCATGACTCTTAACGAAAGCTTGGCTGTTGCCACTGCAGTTGCTTGCTTACAGACAGAGAGCCACCGATCAGAAACATGAACGTCTGACATCGGTAAGTGTTGAAACTTAGTTGCACTTTGTCTGACCCAGACAGTGTCATAGCTTTATGCAAATTTGCTGAAGTTTTAACACAGTTAATGTACAGTGGTTAATATAAAGTTCCAATACACCACTGAAGTACCAGATATGATAGGTTATTTTGTATTTTTGAAGTCTCATTAGCTGTAAGGAATAATTTTGTATGTTGATTTATACATTTTTGTGTTGTATCTTGCATACACAATAAAGATTAAAGATAGGGGATAGCTTGAAGTAAAGATAACTTCTAAAGGTGAGCAGTTAATTACAAATATTAAATTTGTCTAATTTAACATTACAAATATTAAATTAGATATTCTTAGCCATAACATATTTACATTGTTACAAATACAATTTTTTATTTCCAAAAAATATCCATTAAAAAAACACCAAGAACATTTTACAGCATTTATTATTTCTAATATTTATTCTAAAATAACACTAATATAATTGCACATTGAAAGCTACAAAAACTCTGTTTTGTACCAACGACAAACAACAAAATGTTTATGCACCTTTTAAACTTGAAAATTTTCCAGGCATTTTAGCTAATTTAGATCGATTTCTTTTTCTTTAGCATCTTTTCTAAGTTTATTTGCTTTAACCGCTTGCCTGATTATCCCGAGTTAGATCGGGTTCGTATATATTGCAGTTAATTATGATCCCGTGAAAACTCGGGTGAAGCAGAATTTATTAGTACGATTTGTTTAATCACGGTTTTACTCGGCCTGGAGGAAATGAAAGGAAATATTCAGCTTTGATTGGCAGTTTGCCAAATTTTGTGTGGTTCTTTTCGAGGGACTGGTCACATGTTTCCCTATTGTATAGTATACGTCGGCTTGTGGATTAGTAATGAATAAAGAATACATACATTGAAAAAAAATACAATAATGGCAATGATGCAAGATAGCGAAAGCGATGATTTTTCAGATAGTGATTATGAAGAGATTGGGGAAAAAAAAAAACTAATAAGACAGTGTACTCTGTGCTCCCATAAAAAAGATTCCAGCGGTAAACCAATAAAAAAAAAAGGGACCAGATACCAGCGTAGAATGTCAGGTATCACTTTGTGTTGTCCCTTGTTCCGAAAACTATCATACAAAGACTAATATTTAACATTTTTCATTTGCCTAAGATAACTCAAGACAGTAAACTAATATTAAAACTAAATGCTTTTACACCTTCAAAAAATTTAAAATTCAACTTAAAACCTACATATTTTGATTTGTTTCATTTTGTTGTATTTAATAATAAAATAAAAAAATGTGATGATTTTTTTGCAAGTTTTTTCAAAAAAATTTGTTAGGGAAGCGGTTAATAAATAAATCAATACTCCCTATAGTCTCTGTCTCATTTCCTAATTTGTTAATGTTTCAACAATGTACCTTTGAAGAATAATTTTCTCTCTTTTTATAAAACAAATTTTTGTTTTAACCACTTGTGCTAAAAAGATGTGCCATGCACGCAGAGTCGTAGCTAGGGTTTTCAGCGCCCAGGGACAACTGAAGATTTCTCGCCTCCTACTGCTTGCCAAGGATGGAAAACATTTAATTATAAAATGTCGTAACATCAGTTTGGCGCCCCTTGGATTCTGCGCCCAGGGACAGATGCCCCCCTTGCCCTTTAGCTACGCCCCTGCATGCACGTCGAGATGCTTTTGCCTCAAACCGCGAGCGACGTGAACACCCCGTCGATAGGCATTTATCGCAAAAATGAAAATAACGTGGGGCACATGTCGCCTAAAAACGAGATTGTTTATTTCTAAAGTTACAGCTCTGGATTGCACTTGCAGACATGGAGCGGCGTAAATGAAACACTTTACCGCTTGTTATATTGTAGCGCACGGCACCGCAACCGTGAAGTTTAGTCGTAGAGCAAGGTGGTTAATGGCTTTCCTCTTCATTTTAGAATTTTTGCATTTAATTAAAGGCTTTTGTTATTCTAAAAAACTGCTTGTACTTAGAATGTTTAAATGAAACTGCTAATTTTATTTCTTTATGAGTGTTGATGTAGGGTTTTCCTTATTTTGCATAACAAATTTATTTTAAGTTTGATTTCCTGTTCTAAACTTCTCAACTTTCCCTCTCATTCTCTCACCAGGATGTAAACTTAAAGTTAAATGAAGTGATATTTAAACATGTGAATATCTCAGTTTATTCAGAGCGTGTTTTGCTAGCCAAGTGCACGTTTCATTGTTATTTCGTGGTCACGCTTGTAAGCCTCTTGGCCTTATCAGATTAATATCATGTCGGTTAGATTTCTGTGAATCTGCCTCTTAGGCATAAACTTGAGTCCACTCTTGCACTATTTATTTCAGGTTTGACTTGTATTATATTCTACATTTTAGTTCCCACCGCAAGTGGACGGTGTTTTTGTAACACATGAAGTCTGTGCCATTCTGTTAAATTAGTTTGAATTAATAAAGGGTTATTTTTCACCCTTCTTCTGAGCTGGTAATTTATTCACGCCTGTGCGAGAATTCACCAGGTTCATTGTAGGATCTAATTTAGTTTACGTGGAATGATAGAGATAGGTCTTACATTGAAAATAAATATGAAATGACGTAAGGTCTTGACTTTCTCACTTGACTGTTCATAATGTAAAGTCTTGACACTGGCGCCACAGCCAGTTTGCGAGAATTTTTAGAATTTACTGAAGCATTGAGCAACACATGTTAGGGCAGGCACTAAGGTATGTATGCTGCACTGACACATATATAATGAATCCTTTAAAATTTTCGGTTTTAAATTTCTTTGCTTTCTTTCATTGCTTTAATACTTGTGTTTAATGAAAATATAAGAAAATAAAGGGAAGATAAACATATTAAGAGAAAGACTTCTGGGATCAAAAGGACAAAATTAAAATAATTCTCTTTTTACTGTTCTTCCAAAAGATAAGTAATTCTTCATAAATTTCCTATAAAACACATCCATTACGTGTTAATATCATAAAGACACTTTTCCTTTTGTCGCACTTTCCTGAAAATTTTAAGTCTATAAATCTTGCCTTCTAAACAATCTAAAAATACTGCCTTCAGACCTTTCTAGGTGCAAGGTCTAAAGCCCAAAGGAAAAATTAACCTTCTCTTCATAAGAGCAAAATCGAAGTCCAATCTCTCTTTGGAGTAGGCTCTGGCAACCATTGTTCCATGTAATATGGACAAGACAACAACAACAATGGTTCAGTGTCTCCAGAACATCATTTCTAGCACTGTTATGATTCATTTACTGTTGGACAGAGTAGCTGAAATTTTATTAAGTAGTATGAGAAAAAATTCAAACTTTCCAAAAATACATCCGAGGAAGATAAGTGATATGAGTAGACTATGATGCATTTATCTTTTTTAAATGTTAACAATATTTTATTTGCTGATAACTGAGGAAGATACCATATCCTTCTTCCAAGAAACATTTCATTTCATTTCATACAGCCTTAGAGATGATCTCAGTGCTATTATATAAGGGCCAGTGAGAATGGGAAAGTACCTAATGAAGAGATATAGTGCACTTCAGTATCTCAATATTTTTTTTTCAATGAAATACTAGAGCTTCAAATAGGCCAAATATGTCATGAAAATTGATAATCACATTCATCAGTTGCTAGCTTTTCTAAGATGAGGGTACATTGTGTATGATACTATTGCATTACCAAGATGGTTGAAATAATAAAGAATTTAGTTTACCTGATGTGCAAGTTTTATATTTTGGGAAAAGGTGACGGGAAAAACCCAGAATATGGAACACTTCATGCATTATAACCTACATAATCATAAAATAATTTCAGTAACTTTTTTATAATTTAAAAACATAGAAATAAAAAATATAAGCAAAAAGCAAAAGGAAGAAAGATTAATCATATATAAAAAACACATTTCACTAAAGAAGAGTGTATTTGAATTTTTTTTTTTTCCTATGTTGCTAAAAACTGTTTATATAAAAATCATAAATTCATATAAATCTGATAACATAGCATTTGCTGAGTTCATTAGACTGATAGATGATGCTGTCAATCCTTAAAGCAAAATTAGTAACTAACGATAAATATTCTTGTTTTATGACTTTAAGAAAATGGCCTAGCATCAGCCAAGATGACAAAACCACGAATTTGACTCAGATTCAAATATCAATGAATGAGCTACACAGGTATTCTTGTTGTTTTTCACATATATAGCGTGGATATGAGACAATTTTTCTTGAAAAATCTTCCATTACCACATTTTGCAATGACCTTTTGCATGCTTTGTGACAGCTTACTAAACAAAAAATAAAATCTAATAAATGCATAAATTTTATATAATGCATAAATTCCAATATTCACATAAACTTTTAAAATTTTTGAATTAAAAAAAAATTCCTTTCAGAAAAGTTAACAAGATCTGCTATCTCAATTGGATGATAATCTTCATAATGGTGGCATTAAGTCATTGTTGTTTACAATTAAAAAAAATGTAAAATATTTACACAACTTTGAAGTAAATAATCTGATTACACACATCAACATTCAACTTTATTAACAATGAATACATTGTAGTCATTAAATACACTAAGTGTTGGTACAGGTATCCTCAGCTCAATGAAAGTACAGAATTTCTGTGAAACTTCATAAGGTAAAATGGCATAAAGCAAAGATGCAATTATCAATTAATCTATATACAGAAAGAATCCAAACATTTCCAGGTCTTCAGAGAAAATCTAACAAATTATATGAAATAGTTCTTTAAACCTACACTAAAAAAAAAAAAAAAATACCACACAACATAGACCACATAAACGGTACAGTTTATGTGGTCTATGTGGTCTGCCAGACTAAGCTGAAAATCAAGGCATCATTTGCTTCATGTTACGCGAAGGGTTCAGAGTGAAAAAAATATTACTAAATTTTAAGTCTTTTTTTTTTTTTTAATTACACACTTCTCAGCAAGCATGCATTTTTTTAACCATACAGCTCTTTCTTTTTTCATTTCTCTTTTCATTTAAAGTATACTGCAAAATATTTTGAATTTGTATGATACTTCTTATTTAAGTGTTATTTTTTATGCAGTCACTACATATAGCTGAATAGCATCTCTGCCTTTCACATTTTTTCATAAAAGGGAAAATTACCTGCATAATTTTTTCAAATACCTATATTACTTTACACATTCAATGTACTTCTACAGTAATGTTTAATTAAAATATGAATAAATGAATTTGAAATAAACAGAAAAAATTATTTTGACTGCATGTATTCTAACATAACATATGTGTTACTTAGTTTAAATGCACTTAAATGAAATGAGTTAAATGGTTAAAAACATATAGCAGAACTTGCTGAATTTCTTGCATACATTATAATAAAATTTTTAGGATAATTTGTTTAAAATTAAGCTGATTTCGACATAAAAAGAACTCACATTAAAATAATGTTTTGAAGCATACAGTTTCTTGCTATGATATTTTGGACATATATTTAAAAGTCCAGCAACTGGCCTGTTGTTAGCATCAAGTCTACAATATGATCCGTATGCTTGAACGTCCTGTAGTTAAATATTAGAACAAGGGGAAAAAATCATTTCTAAATTTTCAGTTGAAATGAATACAATATATAAATTCATCAGTATAATTTATGTTAAAATCAGCATTCAATTAATAACATAATAATCTACTACATAATACATACAAATTATTTAAAACAATATCCTAAATATTTTGTGTGAGTAAAAAGTTGTGTATATTAATGATATTGATAAGACTTTTGAAATACATAATATAATAATATTAATGTGCCTTTACACAGTTTTTTAACACAGTTTATCATTTTTTAAGTCATTTATTTACAAATTGTATACACTGCTTATTTCACCCCCCCCACACACACACACACACGCACACCTAGTTTTGAAGCAATGAAATTAGTTGGAAAAGAGGGGGGAAATATGAGAGTAAGTATGGTATATATACATGCTAAAATCAAAAGTAAAGCTGCAATCAGATTATGCTCACATAAAAATCATGTGGCATCTGGTGATAACATATCAAGATACCCACGATATAATTTTTATTATATTCTTTTAATATGATGTTAGGCATAAAAATAATAATCAAGTTGAGATTTCAAGAGTAATTTTGAAACTAATAATTAAAGATGATCTAAAATAATTTTATTAATTAACTCTCTAAAAAAATCAATGATTTAAAAAAATTTTCAAATTGGTCCAAAAGATAATGCTGCATTTAGTATAAGTGAAATTTACCATCAAAATTCACCCCAAATAAGTTTAAAATATGCTTGTGAATTTATTTAGTTAGAATTACTACCTCTATTAGGTATGATTTGTCAAACTCAAAATACGAATTCATAACGCAGTTAAATATGAATTGCCTGGAAACAAGCCCATGGATGGATAGATACATATCTGCCTTGCATATAAAAAATTCATTCGTAATTGACTCCTAATAACTTAAGTAGCTTTCACCTGAACAAAAGCTTTACCTATAACATGATTTACATGCTGTATTCTTATAAAAATGTACAAGACGTGTTTTTTTAACTAAAAAAAAAATAGTACTGCATTCATTTCAGCAATGTAAGTTTATGTTCTCTATTTACAGGAGTTCTCTATTTATCTATCTATATCTGTTTGCCAATACCTAAATCAGTACTGTCTTATATGATAAGAAATGGCATAAAAGTAATACAAAATTGAAAAGGTTATGTAAAAAGAAACAGTATTTACATATTATCCCATTTACTGTGAAAGTTGGCTACCATCAAACCAAAAGAGTTGGCAGGGATTTCGCAAAGGCTGCATTAATAGCTCTTGCAGAACTTCTGCAACACTTCTACTTGCAACTTTTAAAATAATATATTCGTTATTCATGTTCTCTGCATAGTCCACCAAATAGCCATTGCTGCAGAAGTGTTTCATCCATTTCATTTTTGTGCTTTAAAAGACTTTTGTCGATTTCTACTATTTTGCTTGGTCTTCGAATTTTACTAGAAGCTCTGTTTAAAACACTAGGAGGACAAACTTCCTGCAGGTGTTCCAATTATTACTCTTTTGATGTCCATGTCTAGCTACTATGTTCCATATTCAACAGATGTTAATTCTCTCAAGCTGTAAATGAACCTAAGTATATCACATGTGTGATTCTCAAGCCTTCAGTTACTTTTTTTTTTTTTTTTTTTTTTCAAAATGAAAGAAAAATATCACAATAACAGATAATTTATAGCCTTGTTCATAAAAACAACAGATGGCTTATCAAGAATCAATTGGGGTTACATCAAAAGAATGTACAAATGTCTTGTGATACAATAACTGGTGCTAAATCGCATTGCTTGGCAAAAGTTTCACAGTAGATGGGATATTATGTAACAACCAAAAGAGTAAATTCTTTAAAAGTACAAAGATTCATGCACTAATAACACAGCACCAGCAATTTATAACAAAAAAGAAAACACAATCAATATAATTACATCACAACAAGCTTAGTCTAAAACACTAATGAAATGAGTCATCATATAATTTTTAAAATACACAGTTATATCCACAGCAGCACTTTGGAACACACAATTGTATTAAAAAATATTAAGTAATACAACAGTAAAATATTGTAGCTTTTGTTTCTTTCTAGGAGCTAATCAGCAAAACTAGAAATAATTTATCAGATATTGATGGTATTAAGATTTATAAAAATGACTTTGAATTACAGATGATCTGTTCAACTGAATTAATTTACTGGACTGATATATGTTCAATCCAAAATGACTAGTATTTTGCAGCATTTTGATAAGATACTAGGAACATTCTAGCTTAACACAATACTAGCAACAGTAGGTAACACTGGCATTTTTACAATAGTATAATATACATGACAAATTTATATCAACATGATTTACTATATTGTTATATTTGTTTATTTAGTAACATTTAATTTTATACTACAGATTTAAATTTATTTTTAGGTAATAAATGATAAAACCAATTATTATTTACATATATTTTGACGTTTTTATTGCCTCATAAAAACTTTCTGCATTTTTTCAGCAAGGATACAGGTAATTAGAATTTTAACAATTGTGATGAATAAATGATTATAATTTAAGTCAACTGTGCATCTTGAAAGCATCATCAAAGTTGCTGTTTAAGGCTTCAGGTTATATTTTGCATGAAATTTGTGCTTGACAACAGGTGCTTCCTAGTTATATATGGACAACAGGTGCTTCCTAGTTATATATTTTCATACGGTAATTATGTTAGTCAGAAATCTGTAATTTGAACATTAAACATAATGTATAGAAAACCTACAGTTTAATATTAACTAACTTTCCTGACAGAATGTACTGAAATATTGTAACAACCTGCATCAGAAAAGAATGAAGTTTTGCACCACTTCAATAAAGAAGTTACATTTATACTACCAGACATCCAAAATGCAATACTATGAAGGAAACATCCAATAAGCTTCAAATTTGCATTATGTGTAACCAGTGTAAGCCATGGAAATGATTAGTACTGCAGCATATATGCAAAACATGTTTTCTTGCTATTTCTTTGCGTGGAAAGCTTCAAGATGCATTGCAGAAATAAACGGCAATTATTTGAGTTAGTTTCTGAGCTTATCAGGAAAAGAATTGCTGCTCATAGACTGTAAAATATCCTTCTATGAAAGTAATGCTCATGTTTGATAAAATCAAACTCTGATGATACAGATACTAAATCAGTGTATACAGAAAAGATAAATCAACTGATACAAACAATTGCAGCAACTTCAACTCAGCACCGAACAACAGGACATGTATGTAGTGTGGTAGCAGTAACTGACTGCACAGCAGTTAAAGGAATCCTATCACAAGAATTGGGATCTGTTGCTCAACAATCTAGATCAGCATGTAGCATTATAAATCTACACAGGAGGATAATCTTTGCAAGGCATCTGTTGCTGCAATTAACTGTCATCTCTACATCACAGGCTTATGCAGCTGCAATGATGTGCTGAATGCTAACATGGATAAATAAATAGAATAACATGATATCTATTTAAGTGAATCTCTGTTGTGTCTGTAACACCATGATGATTGCATCCAAGTCTGTTGCAACAGAGCTGATAAGATGTAATGACTATTGAATCACGCATCACTATACTGGTTCATCACCTGGAGTAACGACTTAGGCTGTCACTGGATTTTACTCCTGCACTCACTGAATACGCACTGCTGGCATACGAAACAGCCATCGCTATACCTTTGAAGTTTCGCAGCATGCTGTCCTTTTTCACTTTTAAGGCTTTTTAATAGTCCAATTTAAATAGTACAGTGCACTATTGCATATGGCCTGCATTATTCAATAACTTTTCATTGCCCAGCAAGTCATATTGCTTTGACCAATCCATTCCCTGGTATGTTGACCATCAAACACATCTGGTCGATGGCTGGTAAATAAGTGGCCCAGCATACATCTTCCATACCTATGCCAGATGAACTTATTCAATATAAAAAAATGACATATCATCCCAAGCTAAACTATTTTCTTTCAATGGCAAAATTTTCAATGCTGTTGTAGTTATTGCCAGCCATGGTAGCTACACAAAATACTGATTTCTTTGTATTCTGCAAGTTGAGCAGGGCTATAATTTTAATTAATTCACCTTTGCACCTTTGATTAGTTGGCCAGCATATAGCTTTGATATATTTTATTAGTTATACTGTTACATTTCGGAGGACCAGCAGTTTATTCTATAAAACTAAGAAAGAAAAAAAGAAACTTACAGGCTCTTCACACCAGGAGGTAGGTCTACTAGTGACACAGAGGATAAAATTGGTATTTTTTATTCCAGGACCAGCCGCAGCAACAAAACGTGGCACGGGATCCGAAAAATCATAAACATTTAATTTATTCAGAAATCTGTCTGGTATCTAAGCAGTAATAAAAAAAAAATAAAATTTTGATAAGTTATTTAGCAGACGATAAAAGTGATAATTGGTGAATCAATAATAGCATATAATTACTGCAAAACTTTACAGTTAGTGATTCAATAATAACATATACTCACTGCAAAGTTTGTATCTTTAATTGAACAAAATTCAGGCCCTGCTTTAATTCTTGCACACCTATTTAAAAGGCAATATTTTTTAAAAGCAAAAAAGCACTGAGATTAGACATAAACAAAAAAGCATACATACTAATGTTTATAAAAAATGCTGCACCATGAAGGAATTGCCGAAAATGAATGAAACTTATTCTGTGTATTACTGATAGTGTTAAAAATAATTGATCAAATTTATAAGACAAAAAAAAAAAAAAAATGAATGTTGGAAATTAGTACTTTGTTAGTCCAGCATGCTGAGTGATCAGAGCTTGAACATGTTACGGCATTGAATCATACAGGTTTTTGAATGTAATCCTGGGGAATGGCATTCCATATGGCTTCCACTTGATGTCAAATTCAGTCTTAGTTTGTACCCCACCAGCTGTACGAGCAAGTCACCAAACAGTGAAATCCCAGACATGTTCAATGGGTGACATATCCAGAGAATAAGCAGGCCATGGAAGAAGTGAAAGCTGTTGTACCCTAAAGAAGGATTGTGCAACCTGAGAAACATGTGCACAGGCATTATTCTGCTGAAATACATTGTCCGGAATGCACTAAAGAATGGAGAGGACCCTTGGCTTTACAAGTTCCTTATGTAGCAATCACTGTTGAGGTTGCCCGCAATCTGCATTAGATGGGATTGACAATTATATGCAATAGCCACCCAAAAAACATGATGCCAGGCGTTTGTGCAGTAGGACACTGGATAACATGCTGTGGGTGCAAACATTCCCCCCCCCCGTAACATCTGATGGATTTTTTTCCATCACTGTACTCCAGATTGTAGCGAGATTCATTGGAGAAAACAACTTATTTCCACTGGAAACACCACACACCATGTAGCCATGCTCATCAATGTTGAAGATGCCTGTGATTCAGCGACAGAAGAAAGCCTATGTAGAGGAATTCTTGCATGCAATTCATTCACAGCCATGCCGATGAGGTGCCTGTTGTCCTGTGTCGTTATGCTATTGCGTACTCCACTGCTGGGATTTCATCTTGTTTAGTTCTCTTCTGTCCATTTCTTGCAAATACACATCATTGTTACAGAATTACGCTGCATGTGGGCTGCGACTGCTCGATACGAAAGTCCAACCTTTCGCTTACCGAAGATACATTTTTGGTGAAACTCCATTAGTTGTTGGTATGGCACCCTCTGCTGTTGATTAGGCATATTAACTACTAATTAAACGTTCACCGCAGACACAGTTCGATAAACAGATTTCAACACAACTTTACAATCCTTTGTATACATGGAACAACCGGCTGGTTCTCATTCCATGCAAGCGCATTCTCTATGTAATTCTAATCATTTGCATGTCTTACCTTACTTTATATTTCCTGTAAGTTTAATTCAATTTGCATAATTCCTTCATTGTGTTCATTATAAAAATGGTGAAGCAAATACTATTCAAATGAGAAACAAACACTCATGGTTATATCATAGATGCCGTTTTGTTTATTGGAGTAAGTATTATAAACACTTATAGAAAAACAGCAGAAAGGTTACCGAGTTTTTTTTTTTTTTTTTTTTTTTTTAAAGAAGAGGGCAGTTCTATATCTCACACTCTGCTGGGCCAATTGACGAAATTCAATTTGCGTTTTTCATGTCTTGAAAGACTTAGAATATATATTAGATTTATATATAGCAATATCCTAACATAAGTATTCTGGCACAGACTTCTTTCTGAAATAATATACTGATTTTTTTCCATATTTAGATTTTATACCTCAAATTATGCCTAAATGCCAAGCTTTGTAAAAATCAACCAAGAATTTTTTAAAAAATTCAGTCTTAAAATTAAAATTTTTCAAAAAAAAAACTTTTAATTACATAAAATTTTTACTATCAACTTAAAGTTCATGCATTTCGAGAGACACTTGTGAAAAATTGAGTATTTTATTCAAAATTTTCCAAGATACATGCGAATTTATATATTGGCGCATTTTGAAAACGTTGGCATATTTGATATAAGTGATAATAATACGAGGGCCATCCAGGAAGTAGATTACGTTTCCGTCTGTGTCCGCTAGGGGCGGGGCTAGCGCGGCCATCTTGGGGTCAGAGCGTTGCGCAGCTCAGTCTGCATCTAGCCGTGCTAGTGAGAGGTTCGTGCTGTGCTCCGTTCAGATACTGTGACGGTTTGAAATGTCTGCGTTAATTGAAAATCCCGCGAGCTGCGAGGTGCGCTCAGTAATAAGGTTTCTGACTGCAAAAAACTGTAAACCGATAGAAATCTATCGGCAGCTTCGTGAAGTGTATGGGGACAACATTATCACTGAAGGTGGAGTGCATCAGTGGGTCATAAGATTTCAAAATGGCCGAACCAATGTTCACGACGAAGATCGAAGTGGGAGACCCAGTATAGTGACCGCCGAACTTCTCGAAAAAGTCGATGCTAAAGTCCGTGAAAATCGAAATTTCACAATAACGGAACTTTCTTTGAGTTTTCCACAAATTTCGCGAAGTTTGTCCCGACCTGGCACCGAGCGACTTCCACCTATTCCCAGCAATGAAGAAGTGGCTGGCTATGCAGCGTTTTGATGACGACGCACAGCTGCAAGAAGAGGTAACGAAGTGGTTGAAGGCGCAGGCGGCCGAATTTTTCGACGAAGGAATTTCCAAGCTCGTACATCGCTACGATAAATGCCTTAATTTGTATGGTGACTATGTAGAAAAGTAGTATTTGAGTGTAGCTTTCATCTGTATATAATAAAATTTGTTTCCTATACTTTGTTTATTTTTTTATTCCAAAACGTAATCTACTTTCTGGATAGCCCTCGTACCAAATGTGGTTAAAACAGTTTGTTATAATCTTCAATGAATTGCAACAGCTCTTTTAAACTCTAAATTTCCAAATAAACTTTTACTGATGATTACTCATGAGAATTTTTTAAAAAATTTTTATTAAAAATGACTCATAAATATTTATTAATAATAAATGAAAAGCTATTTTTTAAACTTATAAGGAAAATTAATCAAAAGTTTAAAGATTTTATTTTCTTTCAAAACAGTAAATTTTTACCTTCGCCATTTCGCTGTCTATTTTACTTAACTTCATTTTATACGTAATGAAATTTATTTTTCTGATTCTAAAATTATGCATCATACACACTTTCAATTCTTCTGAATACATTAAACAGTACATAAAAAACATATATAAATCATGCTGTTTTCTACTACAGCATTGTTTAACAGTGGCAAAATTTTCTACAGTGTAAGATTTTTTAGCTTCAAGACATTAAGGTTTTCTTGAGGCATTAAGATGAAAAATCTGAGGTAAATCACCCATCAAGATGAAAAATCTGAGTCATGAAAAAACACATTTATTTATTTATTTACAGAGTAGCATAAAAAAAACCCTGATATATGAACCCTGTTGCAGGATTCCATCTGAATTTTTTCATGGAGTCGGTTCTCATGTAAAAAACAGAAACTGGAATAAGTAATCAAAGTAAAGCAGGCAATCCACCTAAGTAAAAAAGGCAATCCACTTCAGCATGAAAATATGGTGCATTTTCGCCTTTCTTTTTAACTCCTTCACAATGGGTGTACCATATGTGCATCAGTATTTAATCCACTTACACGATGGCATGCCGCTTAACGTAACTCACCTTGGAGATGGTGTGTTGTTGCACTAGTACGATTTCACAAAATGAGGTATTTTGCATCGCTAAGCCTAACTTTAAAAAAAAAAAACCTCATTAAAAATACTTTTTTATCAATTGTTTTGATTTTTTCTGTAATGGTATCTAACAGCAATGTAATCATAAATACAGAATATCAAGGGATTCTGAAAAAAGTTTAATTAAAATCTAAATGCAAAATAAAAACACTTGACTAATCTTGATGAAATGTTGTAAAAAACTTACTTAAATCTATATCTAAACATATTAATATATATATATATATAGGATTAAATATTATAGCATAAATGATTCTGAAAGAAGACAGTGTATGATAATCTAGTTGCTATCAATTACTTAGTTATGAAACACATTTATAGATTGAACTTTTTAATTATCCCATTATTTATTAATTCTAGGAATCCTCTCATAGTAGGTACATCTACAGGATTATGTTTATTTTAAATGACGATGGATTTTCACTCATCTTTTATTCATAGAAATTACTAGTTTCAACTATTATCTTCATTAGATTATAAAAAAAAAAAAAAAATGAGGGGAAAATCAATTTCATTCACATAACTTTCAATTACGCTTACTTCTGCAATTCCCGTAAATTCATAAGGCTTCAATTACTTAACAAATCAATTTGATGATGGAGGACTGTGAGGCTGTTCTGCTGGACTGTGAGGTGAAAGAAAAACAAATTTCCAATTCAGTCTCTGACAAAATTTCGGTATAAAAATAACTATTTTCACTTAAATTTAAGAGTATTCAGTGTCAAAATAAGTTACTCATGGGCTCGAATAGACACTAGTGGGCTTTACAATTTGAATTTACTCTTCTGTTAAAAAAATCCTTTCTCTTAGACATTGCAGTATTACTTTAAATCTCTGAACTGGTGCAAAAAACTTACATCTGCTATCTAAAGAAGATGCAAACTAGAGTTCCTAAAACCACAGCTCCATTCCCAATCCTCCCATAGGAAAAAAAAAGAAAAAACAAATGTGAAGCATGGGAAACTGTCAATGTTTATATCATGTGAAGCCTCAACTGCATATCAGCTGGGTTTTGTTTACTTTATATCATCTACGAATCACCAGAATCAGAGAGCACTTCATGGACACAAAGTCAACAATGTATATGTTCAAGCTAACTGTAGTAAATACAGAGCGCCATCTACTGATTAAAAAAATTCTAAAAGAACATTTATGTTTGAAAGTGCATATATGACACGTCAGTCAAGAAGATCAATGTAAGCCGGGATGCACCAGTGCATCACCAGGCTGCTGGTAACATTTGGAACTGATGTATATATGACACACCCATCTGCAGAGGGCTTTCAGTTCAGCATCCTGCCATTGTGAAGAGGTTAATAAATTAAACATAAAA